TCGTGATTTAGCGCGACCCCAACCATTGTCGTTGGTGGGACATCCATCCACACACGTGACATCTAATTGGACTTCACTGGTCACGACTTCTCACTAGAACTGAGGAAACTCCAACCTGTAGCAAGTCACTGGTTTTCAATGGTTCTCTAACTGATATCAATCCGAGGTCATAATTGAAAAAGAATTATAGGCAAGGTAGGTTGTTCATTATAATAGAGGTTTATTGTATTTCCCAGTGAATGAAAAAACAAAATGAGATTGTTTTTACTGACGTTTCGCTATTTAATGCTAAGAGCTTTCTCAAAGTAACAAGGTAGGTTGTGTCTAATGTGTATTCTACCAGCAATGGGGAAAAATTGTTTTAGTGTATCGTTTCGAAATTTGATAACAGCTCGGTAAAAACGAGGTCAAAAATGGAAAACCGAAACAATTTTTGGGAGAAAATATTGGGCCATGTTTAGTGCATTTTAAATAGTCGAGCGAATACATTTGTTAGTGTGAAATATTCCCATATTATGAATTCAAAGTCAATCTGAACGAAGAATATTCTTTTCAATACATCCTTCTCTTCAGGTTGTTACAATTATAAAAAAATATAATATTTGTGGTCGTTACAATAAAGATAGCCAGGTATGCGGCGGATACATTTTTAACGTAGAATAACAGATTAGCTGTTATGGTGTGTCAAAATAAATAGTCGTATTTGTGTGACAAACGTTGTGCTAGGCTGAAATCGACTAACAAAATATTGTGAAATGGGAGACAGTGGTGGTGATTAATCATAATAGAATTGTAGAGTGTGGTGTAGGAAAATCGACAAATCAGTTCAAGGTTATCGAAGGTGTCAGGTGAGTGAGTGGCAAGTACAAAGTGGTCTGAGTTAAACAGGATGTAGTAAGACTGGAATGAGTGGTTCACAGTGAGATAACGAATATGTTAAATGAGAAAACAGATAATATCACTAATAATAAGTCCGTATGAATGAAAATTCGATAGTATTGAGGGAATGTTTGGAACAGCGACTGGACGTGTTCCTTTTGGATACACAGTTCCGGTTTAGTTGATCTTATTGCAACAGCTTCAGCTATGTGTAGGAGACGTAAGAGAACTGTACAGTGGCCAACCTTGGATTGAAGATTTTTCTTCTCACCAAGAGTGCTACTTCCCCTTAACCCTCTTGGTGTTTTTTTCTTTTTTTAATTTGCTTATTATTATAAGTATTATTATTACAGCTATTATTATTATTATTCGTCATAATTTATGCCCTTTATGCAAACATTCCCTCAGTACTATCGAATTTTTCACTTATACGGACTTATTATTCGTGATATTATCTGTTTTCTCAATATATGCCTCCACCTGTTTCATTTAACATTTTCCTTATCGCATTATGATCCTCTCATTCCAGTCTTACTACATCCTGTTTAACTCAGACCACTTTGTGCTTGCCACTCACTCACCTGACACCTTCGATAACCTTGAACTGATTTGTCGATTTTCCTACACCACACTCTACAATTCTATTATGATTAATCACCACCACTGTCTCCCATTTTACAATATTTTGTTAGTCGATTTCAGCCTAGCACAACGTTTGTCACACAAATACGACTATTTATTTTGACACCCCATAACTAATCTGTTATTCTACGTTAAAAATGTATCCGCCGCATACCTGGCTATCTTTATTGTAACGACCACAAATATTATATTTTTTTATAATTGTAAGAACCTGAAGAGGAGAAATTATTGAAAAGAATATTCTTCGTTCAGATTGACTTTGAATACACACTTTGAACATACACTTTGAATATACAATTAATATGACTATGAATAATAAATTTTGTTCGAAACGTCATCCAGTAAAGAATGCTGTTTCACTGTGTGTTATGTGTAATAAACAGACTAATATGGAATAACTTTGAATGCATTTGTCTTGATTTATGTGTAAGAATAAATGATAACGGTTCACTCATGGCAGGCCCACGGTTTAAAAGTGGAAAAACATTAAAACAAAAGTTGGGTTAACTACAACAAATTAAAACATATACTTATCATGAACGAAATATAACGAAATTTAAAACGAACTCAGGGTGGGGGCTGGGGACTGAAATCCCGTAGATGAAAAAGGATACTTGTCATAAGTGAAGTATAAATTTAATTGAATTTCAGATTTTCCCGTCGATTAATTGGACCGAAGTGCTCGGTCTCAGGTTGTTGTATCGGCTTCTTGTGCAGATGCTTCGACGATGTCTGAGCATTTAGTTAGTATTTGATTGGTGAACGATGACTAGCAGTGGAATCCAGGATGCGCATTTCGTCCTACTTGGGACTCGTCAACTGGGTTCGAGCCTCGGTGGGAACATCATCACTCACTGAGAAATGCAGGCACATCCAGCTGACGAGTCCCAAATAGGACGAAATGCCCATCCTGGAATCCAGTGCTAGCCACCATCTACCAATTGTATACTAATTAAATGCCCGGACATCGTCGAAGCATCCGCACAAGAAGCCGACATGTCAACCTGAGACCGAGCACTTCGGTCCAATCAGTCGACGGGAAAATCAAAATTGAATTCAATAATTAATATGACCCGTTGCACAAGAGGTGGCGCTCGTGTCCGAAGTGGTCTAGTGGATAACGCTTTGGTGTTTGAAACTATGGGTACTGGGTTCGAGCCTCGGTGGGAACATCATCACTCACTGGGAAATTCAGGCACATCCAGTTGACGAGTCCTATATAGGACGAAATGCCCATCCTGGATTCCACTGCTAGTCACCATTCACCAATCAAATACTAAATGAAGTGTAAATTGTTTCGATTAGCGAGCACTGTTTACTAGGTCATATATCAAAGCCTTGGGAATCCCAACGAAACAAGGTGGGGATGACTGTGTTGATTCACAGACAAAAACATATATTTGCTGTAAAAAAAATGTTAACTGTTGTGATTACAGTTCACCTGTCATCCGTTTTCATATTGAGAAAACAGATGTTTGCCTAGAGGTATATAAGTGGTACTCCATACATACAGAGACCATTCTTACAGGATTTATAAATCGTGCAGATGAGTTAGATTTTCGGTGTATACTATTGGTCCATTTCTATGATAAGGAAGACAACTCAGATAATGTGTGAGATACGAGTATACAACATTCTGCAACAAGTCGTAAGAGAAGAATATCTTCTGGCAGACTGCATGAATGCCTTGGATGCAGCTACTCCACATTTTATCGCCGTGAAAAAAAACGGTTAGGTGATGCAGCATTTAGTGACTGGGACTTCTGGAAATATTACTGCTCATCTAGAGAAGAGGTGGCAAGGGATAATACAGTAACTTTACATTCAAATTCAGCTGTCCAGGGAACATTGGATATACCTAGTACTAGTGAGACATCGCTGTTGTTTCACAAAATGAGGAGAACCGTAACATGAATTATATGTAATAAATAATTTTAACAGAACTTCAAGTTGTTCCTGAAAAGATGGCACAAAAAGAGCTGGTCAGAAAGTCAATTATGGAATTGTTCCATGGGAACAATGTAACAGGGGCTGTTGCGCAAGATTTCTTGGATTGTATGCGTAAATTTAATCCATATGTGCCAACAACCATAAGAGACTTGCTAAAAGATAGCGGTATGTGTGTACCTAGATTTCTTCGGCAAGGTGTTTACTATCACATTGGACTAAAGGAAAATCTACAGCGTTATCTAGATAGTTGGGTTGACTACGGTACTTTTTAACATATTGGCTTGCAAATCAACTATGACGGTTTATCTTTATATCGAAGAGTTCTTCGCAACAATTATGGCCATTCATAGGTCGTATCACAACTCCATATGTCAGTGACGTTTTCTTAATTGGCATACATGGCTGTTTGAGAAAACCGAACAACTTCACTGAGGTTTCTAGGGACCTATTAGTTGAATTGAAAGATCTTTAAAAAGAAAGGTCTATATGTTAAGAAGTGGGGTAGGAGTGTGACTGTCAGTGTTCTAGCATTTATATGTGATACGCCTGCTCGTTCTAATGTGAAACAAACTGTCGGTCACAATTGATGAAAACAGGTTGTGATAAATGTGAAGTTATCGGCTGTCGTGTGGAGGGTAGGATGACATTTCTTAATAGGAATCTATAGGTCCCTTAAAATCCAGTATTACAAAGTGGGGGAAGAGATTGATAACAGAAGTTGTATTTATCGAATCAAGTGAAAATACACGTTATAGGAATGAGTCAGCAACTGTCCAGTCGGACATTTGGAATATTCTACTACCCCTTTAACGAAAAGGAAGAAATATAGAAAACTATAAAAACCAAGTTTCGAAGATATGTAGTGATAATTGGTATGATAATGAAGAGTAATAAATTGTGCTCGAAACTTAGTCATCCTGTAAATAATACCATTTCATTGTTCCACAAGCTGATATGGATTTACATACTACCACAGTGTCCAACGTTTACACATATATAAAGCGATCAATGAAGCACTGGATAGCTGTGCTGTCTTGTCCTACTTTGAGACCCTTCAACAATACGCACACACAACTTCAAGAAAGGTCGTAATTGGGACCTTCAAGCTATGAAACCAAAATCTTTGATTATTCAGACACTTTGGCTGGCCTGTAAATTCTAACTCTTCTCATTTCGTGATATGGTACTATTGTTGGAATAATGCCTTCGTTAGGCATCCACTGGGGATAACTTTGCGGTACAACTTCTTGAAATACATCCAGTATCCATCATTGCCTTGTAGGTTGGTGCTTAGATGATGAGATACTGTAGGGATTTAGATCAATTTGTAGTGTATATTGACTCAGTGATTTGTACTGTCACCTAATTCCTTCCATAAGTGATACAATTACGTCCGCGGCACTTGCAAATCAAGTTGTTGAGGAGAAATATTTCTTCATTAATAAATCATAATAAATGAGTGATATTTTGTGATGTGAAGAATAAAAATAGAAATAGTAATAATAACAACCATTTTGAGCATTACTCACATGAGGACATCATGAAAACTGACTTCTTTATCACGACCACCACGTAGCATTTCTACTTCATAACACATTTCCTTGAATAGTTGTTGATCTTTCTTTTTAGCTAAATCAAAGCCCACACGTTCTCGAGGAATAAGACGTAACAAAAATCGTACATAGTAGGCTTTGACAACACCCTTAAAAAGAGAGAAATAAAGTATAATTAGGTTAATAAGTTTGTAGAAATATAAATTAAGGAGTGGTGAGTTAATGAATTGTTAGAATAAGGACTTGATTATGCATCAGACTATGCACAGGGAGTGGTAAGGCAGGAATACGATGCACTGATCGATAAGTAGACTCTAGAAGAACTAGATTTCACGCATTACACAAACTGGAAGACTTACAGGCAGGCGAAAACAGACAAACTGGCTGAAGAGGCTGGCAGCTAAGGTAGGACTTCAAGTGAATATAGAGAAGACAGAGGTGATGAAGATAACTAACCAACTAACCAAACAAAAGCGACAACAACCACCACCACCAACCACCACCCACGGGAGAGATTTGACAATGGTTACTTCCTTCACTTATACAGAGAGGAAAAAAGCTTCCAACCACAGGTGATATCACGGGTGAAAATGTTAGAGTCAGCCAGCCAGCCAGCCAGAATCGAAAAAGCGAGATACGCCTTCATCAACCTGAAACCAGTTTGCAAATCTCCTCCTGCTACTCAGCCTCAGCATAAAGAACACAATTCGGATTCTGCTCAACATAAATGAGAAGTCAGTCAGTCACTACGCGCGTCAGGAACTTGCACTTCGCGAACACACATCACGGAAAGGATTTCCAACAAACTTTAATCAACAACTACCCACCTCGCTGGTTCCATACTGAAGATCAAATGATCAGTTGACCAACCGACATGTGAGAGCAGATTGCTTAACAGATATGTGGGAGAAAATAGAGATGGATCGGTATACGTTGAGTAGGTTATCGAATGACATCGCACTCAATGCAGGCCATCTTTTGAGTGGAACCCGAAAAGAGGGGGCGAGGAGTGGGGAGTGGGACCAACAGTGACATAAAGGAGATCGTTTGGGTAGAAAAGGGTGAAAGATTATGGGGAATCCTGGTGCTAGCCAGATGAAGAGGACATCAGAAAAGAGAAAACAGTGGAGATGTGATGCTGAAGTCCTACTGTTCCACTCAGAACCTAAGGGAATGATGATGATAATAATAAGGATGTGTATGCACACGAAGATATCTTTATTTCAGAAGGAACAGAGTGTCAGTTCCACAGCAAAGTAATTCAGAAAATACTTCAACACTACAATATGAAGCCCTCCAAATATCTAGCAACCTCATTTAACAGCTACAGGAAAATGCCATGTATCAAGAGATCCACAATGGAAAACTCAGCGAAGCCTTTGAAATGAAGATGGTATGTGGTTAAATAAGGTTGATTGCTTTCACCGATGATATTCCCAATAGTGATGGACTTAATTATTCGTAAAACTGTGCATGGTAATGTGAAGACAGCAATATATTGGACTGACAACAAGACTGTAGAAGATCTGGGCTTCACAGACGATTTATGTCCAGTGTCACACTAGATTGAATACTTGCAGACGAAAATCAGAGAATTATCAGAAGAAGCAACCAATGAAGATTGGACTTCAATTTAATGTAGAGAAAAAGGAGGTAATAAAGGTGACCAGCTAATTAAAAACAACAACAGGAAACACCAGTCACCATCAACAGAATAAATTATAAAGAGGTTACTTCCTTCACTGATCTAGGAAGCATCGTTTCAACTACAACTACAGCTGGGACGGATGAAGTTACAAAAAACCAGTCAGAATCGGAAAGGCAAGACAGACATTCATCCTGGAAATCTCCTAGATTCAGCATAAACAACAAAATTCGAATTTTCGACATCATTGCCAGGTCAGTGATTATTTATGGTTCAGCAAATTGGCACTTCACGAAAAGCATTTCTAACATGCATCAAAATTCCACCACCGTCTACGTTCACCAGCTTGATAGTGGAGACCAGATGGCAAGCCAGAGAGAATTAGCAACAAGAAAAATTCTGGTAAAAGAACTACCAAGAACAAACTGCTCAACAAATATTTTGAAGAAAATGAAGATGGATAGGACACAAGCTGAAGAGACCATTGGATGGCATTTAGCTTCATGCCATCACTGGAATGGAAAACGACCAGTTGATCATTAGTCAAAGAGTAGCATAGTGGAGATCATATGAGGTAGAGATGACAGCCTACTGAAAATTCTGAAACCATCCGGGGAGGACTGCAAGGAATACGATAAAAATAAGATGTGCTGTTGAAGCCCTGTGTTCCACTTGGAACTCAAATAAATAGCAATGATAATGACAATCTACGAAGTACTATCTATTGTTGACTTTCTGTTATGTACTCGTCGCTAAATTATTGTTATGGACTGGTCGAGAAACTAATAGTCCTGACGCGAGAAGGCGGAAATCAGAAGACCACTAGGTTTGCGATGATACTTCTATTGTCCAAACACAAGGAGACGAAAATAAATGGTCTCACACCAAAGTGGTAAGTAAGTAAAGTAGTTGTAAAGTAAAGTAGTTCACACAAATTGTGAATGCGAATATATATAAATAATTCAGACAAGCGTGGGAAAAATCATTAGACAGTCTTAACATGAATGGCTAATTATAATGGAGTGTCGATCCAATTATACATAGCGAATATAGCAGACATGCCAACAAACATATATGGATATATGTCACCAAGCAACGGACTGTCAACAAACACTCATATTATATATAATATAATATAAGGAGAATACACATTATTAAAGGAGACAAGTCCATACAAGTGAAGTGGTCACAGACTAACCGAGCAAACAGAAAGAGAGACCAACATGCACACACACACATAAATATATATATGTGGATACATATCACCTCCCCTTTTGAGAAGATGAATGATTAGTAGGATGTTTACCTGGGGGTTTATCTGGGACCTTTGGGCTTGTTGTTGACGCCTGTCGTTTCGTCTGATTGTTGGGTTTGCGGCTTCGGCTCCGTCCGGAATTGTCTAGCATTTTATGCTTCTTCACTGTATTGCGTAGAGAATTTAGTGGGACATCAGCCAGATGCAAACGATCGAACCAATCAAGTCCCAAAACATTTAAATCATTCTTCGTGACGTAACAAATTCCTGTGAATTTGGTATTGCGGAAGGAAACAGAACATTTGAGTTCACCAATTAGTTTGAGCCGCCCACCACAGGCGCTGAGAAGAGACTGGGAAGTATTGGTGATAGGTGGTCTGCCAATATAATTCCAAAGTTTCTCTGATATAACAGTAATATCAGAGGCAGTATCTAGCTGCAGACGAGTATCATGACCATTCATCTGAAGGTCAATATATTTCCGCATAGCTGGTGTTGTGACTTGACAGGTTGCACGTAGACTCAGTGATCTTTTTGGAGATTTAGGACCGACATTTTGTTGAGCTTTTGCTGGATTATGATATCTGGGTTGCGTGGCTGACAAAAACCATTTTTATGACCGATGATTTTGCACTTGCTGCAACGATGATTTTTGTATGGGCAAGACTTTACAAAGTGCCACGCGCCACAATGCCAGCATGGTGATGGTGGGGTCTTCTTTGCAGTATTTTGTGAAGTTGGACGAGTATGTATAGATTTCCGCGGAACATTAGGAGAAGTAGGTGGGTCAGGAGTAGCTGATGAGAGATTTTTGCTCTTGCGTAATGCACGAATATCAGAGCTTCTCGGAGGTGTTGATTCGACCAAGTGTGTGTCTTTCTGCAGATTAATCAGCCGTTGATATTCATCAGCTATGTCATGTAATGTTAACTTGGGATTTTGTTCTAGCTGATTGAGCAGTCGAGTTCGGATATCTGTGAAACGAGGAGATTGGAGACTGCATATGAGAATCAAGGCTTTGAACTGATCATCTGTTAAGGACCTGAGTCGAAATCTCTCACATTCTCGGTTGACTGTGCCAACGTGAGTAAGAAAATCATCATTTTCATTCATTGCCAGCTTGAGGCAACGATAACGTATACTGAATAATGAGGAGTGGTCTCCGAAATGTTCACGCAGCAACTTTATTGTATCATCGAAACAATTGTCACGTGGTTTCTGTGGTAAAATTAGGTTGCAGTACCGTTCATATTCTGCCGGACCCAATTTACGTAGCAAAACTCGCACCTTCCAGGCATCGTCTTGTGAGGCGAGATCAACAGTGAATAAATCCTCATAACGTTGATACCATGTGTCAAAAGTGACATTAGCCTCTGGGTCATAATTGAACTGTGAAATGCTGTTCACAATTCCGTCGACAGATGGTAGCATGGTATGATTGGGATTGCTTGAAGGTGGAGCTGGACCAGTCTGTTGGTTGACGAACATTTCCATTAATTTCATTTGTCGTTCAAACAATAATTCCAATTTAATAGGATCCATAGTAAATTGTTATGTTGTTGCTGCTGTGTGGTTAATAGTAGTTTTCCCCGTCGCCAAATTGTTATGTTTCTAGTTTCCCCGTCGCCAAATTGTTATGTACTCGTCGCTGAATTATTGTTATGGACTGGTCGAGAAACTAATAGTCCTGACGCGAGAAGGCGGAAATCAGAAGACCACTAGGTTTGCGATGATACTTCTATTGTCCAAACACAAGGAGACGAAAATAAATGGTCTCACACCAAAGTGGTAAGTAAGTAAAGTAGTTGTAAAGTAAAGTAGTTCACACAAATTGTGAATGCGAATATATATAAATAATTCAGACAAGCGTGGGAAAAATCATTAGACAGTCTTAACATGAATGGCTAATTATAATGGAGTGTCGATCCAATTATACATAGCGAATATAGCAGACATGCCAACAAACATATATGGATATATGTCACCAAGCAACGGACTGTCAACAAACACTCATATTATATATAATATAATATAAGGAGAATACACATTATTAAAGGAGACAAGTTCATACAAGTGAAGTGGTCACAGACTAACCGAGCAAACAGAAAGAGAGACCAACATGCACACACACACATAAATATATATATGTGGATACATATCACTTTCTTCATTTTCTTCTTCCTGAAGCAACACCCATCATTGAGAGACACACTAAGATTACTTGACTGATGTAAAAGATATTTCCAGAGGTCAAGAGGCAGGAAAATGATCACAGCAGCTTTGGAATTAAAATATCTCTGTAATGATTACCCCTTTTCATATGTGCAAATTACTTCAAAATTTCTAAAAATAATTCCAAACTACTTATAAGTAACATGCTGCAAAATAATGATTAGTAATTAATTCCGCGTGGCTTAGTCGTGTAAGGAATCAATCAATCACCTTCTACGATTAAACTTCTCCACGAAACCTATGATTCGTATGAACGTGAAGGATAAGCTACCACTGCCGGCCTCATCAGTACATATCTACCAATTCTCCTGTTCGTGTGGAGGCAGGTATGTCCACCGAACCCAGCGTTCGCTATCCAAACGTATCACCGAACACTTATTAGCATGGTTTTACAAAGGAGAAAAACGATGCCCCCTCCCCCAGCTCTATCTTAGAACATCTGATAGATTCCGGACACCAAGCTACACCCCAAGCAAACTTCAAAGTCATCTAGGGAATACGAAGCAGTCTTCCTAAAGGTGTACGAGTCAAACTTCTTCAAACTGCAGAAGCAATGGCAATTCTCTTGCTAAGCCCTGAACTCTGCCTACAGAAGTAGTTCGTTCAATCACTACACTTGCAATGGACATAATCTATCTTAATACCCGACAGATAAATTTTATTTCTTTCTGTCTCTTCATTACTATTATTTTGTATTTTCATCCAATACATGAAATAACTGTTCTTCTGTCATATCCTTAGTTCTAAAATTGAACTTCTGAACATCCTAAAATAGGCTTTCAACTAGATGTCGTGGATTTCTTGAAGGAGATAAAGCAGATATATCATGATGGGATAAATTGGAGGTCTACTTCAGTCATTCTAACCCAGTGTGATGCTCATGGACAGAAAAAGACATATCTGAGCAGTTTACAGATAGTTGCGCATCATTCATTCACATGCAATTTAGATGTTGCTCGTGGTGATTTCAGTAGAACGATAACTTAGTCAGCCGTTGGGTCTCACAGTCCAGGCGTCACACTTCTGGGTTAGTAATTTGGATATTAGTTACTATTCTGTATCCTGATGGGACCATCACTATCATTTCAGTTATCACATGTTAAATTACTCGTTAACCATATTTAAACCGCAGGTGACAAATCAATCGGCCTCGTGATTTTAGCTTTCTTTTACCAGCACAGTAATGAAGGCATCAAGAACACGCGTAATTGAAATGCTTACTTTTCTATTCACATCGATAATATTCCAAGCCAGTTGGAAATTACGTATATCATTATAACTCATAATTGCATCTTCATCGTTTGAATAGAACAGGGAGAAATTCTCCATAATAATAGCTAGATTGATAAAAGAAAGAGGCAGGAAAAAAAAAGTTACATGATGTAGGGAAGATGATGTGTACTTGTATGACGGCTATTTCATGTCAGTATAAATAAGTTACTTGTCAGGAAGTTAAAAATGACTAAATCTAATGTTGTTTATTTTTTTGGTTGGAAGCTTTCATCATGAGTTGATATCAGTTTAGAGAACCACTAAAGAAGGTGGAAGCACTAAAAAGCTGATATCAACTCATAATGAAATCCTCCTTCAACTAATGATATGTATCCACACATATATATATATTTATGTGTGTGTGTGTGCATGTTGGTCTCTCTTTCTGTTTGCTCGGTTAGTCTGTGACCACTTCACTTGTATGAACCTGTCTGCTTTAACAATGTATATTCCATTTATATTATATATAATATGAGTGTTTGTTGACGGTCCGTTGCTTGGTGACATATATCCATATATGGTTGTTCACATGTCTGCTATATTCGCTATGTATATTTGGATCGACACTCCATTATAATTAGCCATTCATGTTAAGACTGTCTAATGATTTTCCCCACGCTTTGTCTGGAACATTCATATATATTTCGCATTCACAATCTTGTGACTTTACTTTACTTTACTTACTTACCACTTTGGTGTGAGACCATTTATTTTCGTCTCCTTGTGTTTGGACAATAGAAGTATCATCGCAAACCTAGTGGTCTTCTGATTTCCGCCTTCTCGCGTCAGGACTATTAGTTTCTCGACCAGTCCATAACAATAACTTAGCGACGAGTACATAACAATTTGGCGACGGGGAAAACTAGTACATAACAACTAATCAAACAAAATTCCTGACAGAACCGATACTTAAAAGCTAATCTGATGCTCAGTAGTGACTGACCCTATTCAGGCAGTTCACCTGGGCTGGTTGTAGTTGGAAAGCTTGACCACTAATGTACAGCAGGTTGAAGGTGAGGCAGTAACTCATTGAAGAAAACATTGGAAAGTGGTCACACTATGTTATGAATTGACAGACGTTAAAATTCATTGGCCGTTAGATCGCGTCCCAATGGCTTAATGATCTACAAGCTGGCTGGTGTTTTAACCAGAAGGTCCTGGGTTCGAATCCTGTCGGTGGCTGTGCACAACTGAATAGTCCCAAGAGATTAGTACGAAACAACTGTGCAGTACTCTATGCATGTTTTCCAGTGTTTCCCTAACTGAAATCAGCTCATGATGAAGTCCTCCAACCCATCGAACACAATCCCTATAAAAGCGATACTTTGAAAATTAATTTTTTTGAAACATTATTATTATTGTTCCCTTGGCCTCCTAGTGGAACATTATGCTTCAACAACACATCTATAGTTTGTTCTATTTTCCTCTTTCCTCTTCAAGTGGGTCCACGATCGCCCATAATATCAAGTCTCCTCTAACTCACACGACCTCCTCCATATCACCCTCGTAACGACGACCCACTCGTCGCCGCTTCCCATTTGGATTCCATTCGAGCGATGGCCTGTAGTGCGCGTGGCGGTCTCCTAAATGTATACCCTATCCATCTCCATTTTGACTACATGTTTGTTGTGTGACAGGCTCTTGGTCGGTTTGCTGGATTGGTTAGGTGAGCCCCTCGAAGATCTTGAAAAATAAATGCCCACTTATGACTAAGAATTCTTGAACAGTTTCGGCGACAATGGTTTGAATATTCTCTCTATGTTTCTCTGTACCCGCTAATACTGTAATGCATTTAGATACTAACTGCTTATGATGTGTTGTCTTGTAGTGCTCTCAAATAACTTCAAATGAAATACTTTATGCGTAGCTTTGTGTTAATCTGACTGTCGCATTGGTCAGCACCTTGGCAGATAGTTCGCGTGAATTATTTGAAAGTGTACAGAAATCATCGTTTGTAAGTGATATCAAAACTTAATGATCTGCCCATTTTCAATATAGTTCAAAGGTCCTACATAATTGGAGTGAAAACAACTACCCTAAAAATTTCATCACTAAAGACATACAGCCAAGAAAGTAGTAGAAAACTCTTCTGTATCTGTATGCGACTACAATTCAAGACAAGATATACGAGATGCTATACTAACAAACCAGTTGAGGAAATCGATTCCAGGACGTTTAATGTCAGTAAGCTGAAGCTTATATTTCTCATTCAGCAGGTCGTGATTCCCCATTTGCAAGATGAAGTGCCTAGGCAAGCTGACCACCTCTAATTGTATCAACCAATTCCTGTGTGAACAGTCATATTTCCCATCACTCTAGAGACTTAAGTGATCTTGCTCGGGAATATCTACAAGTATGGTCAAATAAAAGTATTGTTAAAACTATAAACGATTCCTTGTAAAAACAGGCTACAAAGCTAGAATTGAAAAGTCCTTATCTATCATCTGGCGTCTAGATACCAGCCACTCTAAACACTATAGGACATTGCCATATGCTCAAATCAACCAAAGCTTTATATGCAAAAAAAGAGATCCAGCCTCTATTATTACCCTGGCCTGCTTTGAAGCCTATGAATTCATAAATTCTGTGTTACCTTCACTAAATTATGAGATGTTCAGCCAGTTGAGTGTTATGTTAATGCAAATTATCTCTCTCTCTCTTACTGGTGTATTTCAAGTGCAATCTGTCGACGGTATAGATTTAATGTAATTTGAAACACTCATAATGCTGCCGATAACAATATTTTTTAATTATTACCGTTATATAAATGTCGAGTGTCTGTTCAAATTCAACTATGGATTGATACCAGTTAGGGAATCATTGGAAAACTAGACAGATGTCTCGTCCCAGCCTCGCACTCTTCGGCAGTATGCACCCACTGCAGAGGTTTGAAATTCAGACTTTCCGCTTAAAAGGCCAGTTCGTAGACCATTCAACAACCAAGACCTATATCGATGGCCACTACTCCATGAATTCCAACTACTGTCCAATTCGTGGTATACATAGCGCAATCGCCAGAGAATGTCATAAGTGTTCTCTTACCTGACTTGGTGGCATCCGTTGGTTACAACTTTTCACTAGAACTCCAGGTAAATCCAGACCAAATTGATGATTGGTATACAAGCATGGCTTGCAATCGGAAGACCATGATTTTTAAACACCTGTGGTGGGTGCGTGCTGATGAAGAACCACAAACTAGGATGAAACAAATGTCCAGTGCTCCCACGTTTCCTAATGCTTCTCATGTTGATGACAACTATTCATCAGACCTGCATTAGTCGATCTTTTAAACTTCTGACAAGCATCTCCAATGAATTAATTGGATCTCATTCAGCTATAATAATAATTATTATTGCTTCCTTCGGTTCCTAGTGGAACATAGGGCTTCAGCTGCACGTCTCCACTTGCTTCTGTCTTCTACTGTAATTTTCACCTGCATCCATGTTAGTCAGTCCATACCGTCTCTGTTACTCCTCTTCACACCATCTCCTCCATGTCACCCTTGCACTGACGTCCCACCAGCCGCTTCCCTTTCGGCCTGGTTCCACTCGAGCAATGGCCTGACGCGCGCGCGATGTCACCCAGCGGTCTCCTCAGCGAGTGTCCAATCCATCTCCCTCCACTTTCTCCTGCATATTTGTTGGTTGGCGATTGATTCTTGTTTTGTTTGTCTGTGCCCATAGTTTCCCATAGTTGGTGATTCTTTCAGGTCCAGCCCGGCCATCTGATCTTCAGTATAGAGCCAGCGAAGACAGTTACTGCTTGATAAAGGTCTGCAACAGACTGTTGGAAATAATCTTTGTGACCCATCCGCCCGCCAAGTTTCCGATCCGTATAGAAGAACTGACTGACTTGATGTTTGTATTGAAAATCCAACTGAATTCCGTTGTTGATGATGAGTGATGAAGATATCGAGATTGGTTTCAGGTTGATCAATGCGTTTCTCGCCTGCCTTCCCGATTCTCGATTTGATATCCTCGTCCATTCCAACTGCCTGTAGTTGATACAATGCTCCCTAGATAAGTAGGTGAATGAAGTAACCTCTTTCAAATCCCTCCCGTTGATGGTGATTGGCGCTGGATGTTGCTGCTATTGTTGTTGTTGGCTGGTTGGTTATTTTCATCACCTCCGTCTTGTCTATGTTCACATGGAGTTCTGTCTTCACCGACTGCTTCTTCGACTAGTTTGTCGGTTGTCGCTTGTAAGTCTTCGATTTTGTGACAATGACAGCAAACATAAGTCATCCACACGCGAAATCCTCGTCTCCTAGGTTCTTCACGTCGGTCAGTCCAGGATATCCCTGTCTCCTCGTTTCCCACTCACTGTCTGACGCATAATCCAGTCCACCACAAGTAGGAATATCATCGTGGGTGATAATAAGCACCCTTGTCTGCCTTGCTGAGTTTTCCGTTTTGGATCACTTGACATGTGCCGTTTTCGTACAGTTGCTGAATAAGGCTGATGAATATTTGGGCGCTGCACGCCGTAGTACTCGAGTGATTTCCAAATTACATCGCGATCAACGCTGTCTATCGATGGCCTTCTCAAAGTTTATAAAGTTGAGTCGTATAGATCACTAGCTCGCTAGTTTTCTAGCCGGTCCCATGCCCGGATAAAGAGGGAGGGTTGGTGCGTGGTACTAGCAACTCCACCCCCAAAACTTAATCAGATCGCTACAGAAACTTCAGTACATAAATATATATTAAAAATAATAATAATAATAACACTAAATAGTGTGTACAGGCTTAAATAGCAGAATTCAACAATTTTGATTAGGAAAACAACATGCACACATATTAGCTACACTATATTTTCCATTCATGTTGTACCAAGTATCAACACGGATTCGAATTCACACACATAATGATGTTGAACGAAGTGAGTGAAACAAAATGCCTATGAAAGTATCGCTTACCTACAAGTACATTCAGCATAACATAAGTGATAATCACATAGAATGAACAAAAGTAGATTAATGCAGCTCTGAAATTTCCACAATCTGTCTCCCAGAAGTTAGTACGCATACGACAAAATGGTGGTTGTATCATACAATCATGCATAATTTTATTCCAATCTTCTCCTTTAGTAAGTAGTTGGTTGTTTGTTTTTGATTTTGAAAATAAACCAAAAAAGAAACATACTTTAGAAGAAATAAGTAGTGAGTTGAAGTTTTTCAGAAAAAAAAACAACTACTGTATATTTATAGTTGCCTTTTCAGCAGTGTTTGAAAAATCCTACAAAGTTTGCATTCAACAACTGCCATCCTTCACTTGGTTGGTGGTGACTAGCAGTGGAAACCAGAATAATGCGCATTTCGTTCTATTTAGGACTCGTCAGCCACTGGATGTGGCTTTGTTCCCCAGTGAGTGAGTGATGATATTCTCACCACCAAGGCTTGAACCCAGTGCCCATAGTTTCAAACGCCAAGGTGTTATCCACTAGACCACTTGGGCCACAACAGCCACCTTTTGTGCAACGGGTTATATTAATTATTCAATTGAATTTTGGATTTACCTGGATTCCACTGCTAGTCATTATCCACTGATTAACTTCTAGATAACAAGACCAAGCATTGTCGAAGCATCTCCACAAGAAGCCGACATATCACCCTGAGACTGAGCACTTCGGTCCAATCAATCGAAGGGGAAAATCTAAAATTCAATTATATAACTGCCACCTTTCTTTACAATTCTCTATAGAAACAGAACTAAGTATTCCGTTTCTTGATGCGTGCTTTAGTAGACGTCATGACGTAATGATCTCTCAAAAGGTCTATCCATCCAGGTGAAACGTACATGGAACGGCCAACTAACTGATTTTTATAGTTGGATGCCTATCTGCAGGATAAGAAACATTTGTAGTTCTGATTGCGTTGACTCACTACTTGACTTCTTGAAAGCCACGCTCGCAAGAAAACGGTTACCCGAACCGATTTATTGACAGTAACATAAAAAGTAAGCAGTCTAAACTGACCACCGACTCAGTTGCAAAGAAAACACCTTATTTATGAACTTGGAATTCAAAGGTAATCAAGCTTCAGGTATGCTGAAAAATCGGCTCTCTAAATCAGTCAGTAAGACATTCTTTGCTGCAAAATTACAAATGACGTTCACCAACCACAAGTTGTTCTCCATCTCTGTAAAAGATAAGCTCCCTGTCTGGCCGCCTCCTTGTGCAATTATGAGCTCACGTGCTCTTCTTGCAGAGGAAGGTACATTGACTGAAGTCAGAGGACGCTTTCCACACGAATACGAGAACATATTCCAGCATGGTTTTACGAGGAAGGAAGGAAGTGCGTGTATATCTCTATTCTATAACATCTGATCGACTCCTGTCAATCTGTCAACCCTGACCATGAATTTAAGATCATCTACTGAATCCATACTAACTTACCGCGTTTTCTTCGTTTTAGACTTCTAAAGACAGCGGAGGCCTTGGCAATTCATGACACATATAGACACACACATGTAGACAATTAAATATCTTAACTAACCTGTAACAATTCTCGTCAACAATGCGGTGGCTCGAAATGTATTATGAAAATTTGCATGTCGACCAAGATTATCACCGTATTTAACTGAACCAAATAGTGTAACACCAGCCAGGGCATAAACCATCATTAGGAGAAACATACTCATTATGATAAATAGCGACTTGTACATTGACATAACCACTGTTAACATTAACATTTTTAATGTTACCTAAAATGAAGGCGAAGAACAACAAATAGGAAAAGTTAAAAATGCTAAAAGTAGAAAATCTTTTGGTTACAGGATTTTATCATGGACTGAAATTCAAAGATAACCATCGAAAAACCACCAGGGAGTATTGAACAGCTGTTTCGTCCTACCTTGGAACTCTTTAGCAGTACGCGCCCACCGGGATTCGAACCCAGGGCCCTCTGGTTACAAGGCGAGCTCATATACCATTAAGCCATTGGGACCCAATCCAATGGTCCTTGAATTCTAACTTCTGCCGATTCACGACATAGCGCGACCGCTAGCCAATGTCTTCGGCGAGTATTTGTCCTCACACCTGATTAGCTGCACCCTACTGGTCACGACTTTCCACTAGAACTACCTACCTGAATAGGAGCAGTCGCCAGTGAGTATCTCATCGATACTCTATTATTAGTTTGTACGGGTTCGATTGATTGGTTACAGGATTTCATCATGAGCTGACATCGGTCAGAAAACCATCGGAAAACCAGCCACCGGGAGTACTGGACAGCCGTTTCGTTCTAGTTTGGGACTCTTCATAGAACTGACCCACTGGGGTTACAAATTAAAATGAAGAGACGAAATCTCTTCAATTTCCCGCTTTTATTATATTCTAAGTTTCACAGCTGATTGATATCAGTTAGAGAGCAAGTGAGAACCACAAAGTACTGGTCAGCTGGGACTCTTCAGTGTCACACACGAAAGTCCAAAAACGGAGTTCGGCCCAACGATCTTCTGGTTATGAAGAAACCTCATTGATCACTTGTGGAACAGAATCCACTGGTTCATAAATTCTAACTTCTGCAAATTTGTGACGCATACAGTAGTGTCTAGGATTCCAATGGTTCTTCAACTGATATTGTAACGACAGAAGAGAAGGCCCAGGAAACAGATCGTTTATTGAGAAAATCAGCGGATATTTATAGATTTTTATGGTGCGTCGGTGGTACAGCGGTTATGACTGTCGCCGGCCATGCAAATTGTCCTGGGCTCGATCCCCGGCCGTGGCTCTAGTGAGAAGTCGTGACCAGTAGGGTGCAGCTGGTCAGGTGTGAGGACAAATACTCGCCGAAGACATTGGCTAGCGGTCGCGCTATGTCATGAATTGGCAGAAGTTAGAATTCAAGGACCATTGGATTGGGTCCCAATGGCTTAATGGTATACGAGCTCGCCTTGTAACAGGAAGGTCCTGGGTTCGAATCTCGGTTGGTGCGTATTGCTGAAGAATCCTACGATAGAACGAAACAGCTGTCCAGTACTCCCAGACTTTCCAATGGTCCTCTAACTAATGTCGGCTTATGATGAAATCCTGTGAACCAATCAAATCCCTACAAACCAACACTAGAATATTAATGGTAATGCATTTAGTCTTTCCATGTCACATAAAACTGAAGACCTACAGGTGACAACAAACAAGATGCCAGAATTTACGCTTAAAACAAGATTTGAATGAAGTTCAATAAAGACGGAGGTGATGAACAAGAACACTAACCAAAATTAAATAAGTACTGGCCACTATCAATGGAATAAATTTGGAAGAGGTTACTTTCATCATATGTCTACGCATTATCATTTCAACTACAGGCAGTCGGCACTGTTGAGGATGTCGACAGCATATAATCGGATAGGTAAGACAAACCAATATCATTCTGAAATCAATTTTGAAATCAGCTTACTGCACTCGGCATAAAGAAACACAAGATTCAGATTTTCAGCACCCCAATGTTAGGTCAGTCAAGAACTTGGCGCCAACATCACTCAAAGCATTTCCAACTGGCTACGGCAGACTTTTAACAAAACTCAAGTGCCATCACTGACTTCATACTAAAGATGAGATGGCCGGTCGGAAACCTTGAGAACAAACCAATCAAGAGCCTAATACTCAACATATATTCCGAAAACAATGGAGATGGATTGGACGCACGCTAGGCAGACCGTTGAGTGATATATCACGCCTACTCTCAAGTGGAATCCCAAAGAGGGTCTACGAGATGGGGGTCGCTTTCAGGGTGTCATAGTGGCGATCATATGAGACGTAGGTGAAAGCGGATTCGACAACCGTGGGGCCAGATGAAGAGGCCTGCAGAGAACAACATAAAGTGGAAATATTCTGTTAAAGCCTTATTTTCTGCTGGGAATCCAGGGGAAAAATTGTACATTAATAATAACGCATCATCATCGAACAAAGCACAAAATGGCAATAAAACCTCTACCTCAACTTTATAGACTTCGAGAAGGCATTCGACAGACAGCGTTGATCGCGAAGTAATTTGGAAATCACTCGAGTACTACGGCGTGTAGCGCCCAAATATTCATCAACCTTATTCAACAACTGTACGAAAACGGCACATACCAAGTGATCCACAATGGAAAACTCAGCGAGGCGGCGTTTGGAGTAAACACAGGAGTCAGACAAGGGTGCTGGCTTATTATCACCCACGATGATATTCCTACCTGTGGTGGATTGACTGGATTATGCGTCAGACAGTGAGTGGGAGACGAAAAGACAGGGATATCCTGGACCGACGTGAAGAACCGAGGAGACGAGGATTTCGCGTGTGGATGATTTATGTTTGCTGTCACTGTCACAAAATCGAAGACTTACAAGCGACAACCGACAAACTAGTCGAAGAAGCAGTCGGCGAAGACAGGACTCCATGTGAACATAGACAAGACGGAGGTGATGAAAATAATCAACCAACAACAACAGCAGCAACATCCAGCGCCAATCACCATCAACGGGAGGGATTTGAAAGAGGTTACTTCATTCACTTACTGATCTAGGGAGCATTGTATCAACTACAGGCAGTCAGAGTGGACGAGGAAGTCAAATGGGGAATCAGGAAGGAGAGCGAGAAGCACATTGATCAACCTGAAACCAATCTGGAAATCTTCGTCACTCAGCCAGCATCAACAACGAAATTCAGTTGGATTTTCAATACAAACACGTCAAGCCAGCCAGCTCTTCTATACGGATCAGAAACTTGGCGGGCGGACGGGTCACAAAGAATATTTCCAACAGTCTGTTGCAGACCTTTATCAAGCAGTAACTGTCTTCGCTGGCTCTATACTGAAGATCAGATGGCCGGGCTGGGCCGGAAAGAATCACCAACTATGGGAAACTATGGGCACAGACAAACAAAACAAGAAGCAATCGCCAAGCAACAAATATGCAGGAGAAAGTGGAGGGAGATGGATTGGACACTTGCTGAGGAGGCTGCTTGGTTGACATCGCGTGCGCATCAGGCCATTGCTCGAGTGGAACCAGGCCGAAATGGAAGTGTCGAGTGGGACGTCAATGCGAGGGTGACATGGAGGAGATGGTGTGAAGAGGAGTAACAGAGACGGTATGGACTGACTAACATGGATGCAGGTGAAAATTACAGTAGAAGACAGAAGCAAGTGGAGACGTGCAGCTGAAGCCCTATGTTCCACTAGGAACCCAAAGGAACAATAATAATACAGTAATAATATTCTAGTCCTTTGTTTGACACATACTAAATTTTATGGATCATCAAAATAACCGATCGAAATGGAAATGAAGAAATACATGGAAATATGGAGCAGTTATACAAGTTATCAATGAGGTCTTCTCTCTCCTTTCTTACTTCGTTTTTTTTTGATGTATTTTTTAAGATAGTCAGCTAGTGTGGAAGTTTAACATTCGCCAGTAAATAAATAAAGCAAAAATAATAAAAAAATTAACTTACGTGTCTTCCAGCTATTGTGAAAAATCTCAGCATTAGAACAAACCAACCAAAATTATTACTGATCATGTGTTTCTCCTAGAGGTAACAAGCAACAACAATAATGAGATAATATTTAATTCAGTATTAATGACAGGAAAATGTTTGAGCAGTATGGAATAGATCAAACAAAGTATAATTACATTTCAATAGTTTACACACAATAATCAGTTCTTTTTGTATTTTGGTAATATTTCGAGCAAAATTACTGTCCGTGATCACACCAGCTGTTAGGATAGTTTTGCTTTTTAATTCACACATTTATGATTTGTAATCATATACATAGTTCATTCTTTTTTGTCCACTCCTTTTTGTTTATTCACTCACGGTAAGACGAGGATTAATGGAAAGTCTTGCAGATAGAATACGTAGACTTACAACAACACCAGGGGACCAGCGAAAAGAAATAAACGTCTCATTGAAAATGTCACTTGAAAACAACTACCAAAGAGAATTTATCAAAGATAATAGAAAAATAGAGTAAAACCGGAGAATGACACGATGGAAGAATGCAAACAAATAGTCGCAATACCATAGCAAAATGGTATATCAAAGGCAATACGAAGAAACTTCAATAATATTGGGATTCGCACGACGTGCAAACCGACTAATCTAATCAAAAATAGAATAAATCAACTGAAAGATCTCATAAAAATGATGGATAAAAACAAAGTTATTTACAAACAGATATCTTATGCTGATTGTCCGACTAAATGTGTGGGTCAAGTGTCCAGATCATCACTCAAAATAAGAGTGAATGAACATAAACGCCTGCCTAACCGAGGGTTATTATCCCACAGGAACACAAGCTTACAAGAATTTAGAAAAAAATTCATCTAAAATGAACATGCAGCATAGGACAAAAGGCATAATATCGATTGGAACATTGTTTTTATTCTAAATATGAACTAATATTATCAAATGGAAACAGAGACTGATATTCATTAAAGTCACACCGGACACATGTAACAGAGGTGACTCAGGTGCACAACTGTCAACTACCTGGAATATAATTCTGAATACACAAAAATGAATGAACAAAAAGATGAACTATGTATATAAGTACAAATCGTAAATGTGTGAATTAAAAAAAACACAACAATTCCATCAGTTGGTGTGTGATTACGGGCAGTAAGTTTCCTCGAAATATTACCAAAAACAAAACCTATCATCGTGTGCATGCCATTGAAATATAATTACACTATATCTTCTATAGTTTGGTTTTGTAAGGGTTAGTTATGTTTTTACAAGTTGATCACGGATTGATATCAGTTAGAGAACCATTGAAAACCAGGGAGTATTGGACAGCTACTGTTTCATTCTGGTTTCGGAATCATCGGCGAATCCCAGTGGGTGCGTACTGCCGATGTAGAATATTCATTAACCAATTTATTCACTACTTAGTACGGTTATATGCAAAGTGTTGCGATGGTGAAGGCAGATAATAAGTCTAGAATGTGATCATAAGGACTTAAACACGTATATAGTTCAGTGACAGAACATCTGATCAGTTCAAGACATTCAGTGCCATTCGAAAAATCCTTCGAAATAATATAGAAGATTCGATCAAACCTATCAAAGGGAGTAAAATTAAGACATCTGGGCATAGCCGAGGCACTGGCCATCCAAAAGCTCAAACCCACGCTATGTATTCAAAATAAATACATTCAACCTTTGTTCCTGCAATGGCCATCATAAACAGGTAATTCTTTCAATAGTGACCATCCCACTGTCTTTCTTATCCAAACTTCCTGTTTATTCATGTTATTTTTAAGTTTTCCTTAACCCTTATTTACACTACCATATTTTCATATCCGAAATTCCCGTCTATTTTGTCATTTTATTATTTCTACTTATTTAATCCTTAACTGCATAAACAATTATTCGTCACGTTAGTTATGATCCCACTAGATTTTTTATCCAAACATCCTGTCTATTGTTGTTATTTCTATATTTCTAACCCCCAATTGCACAATATGTCAATTTCCTTAGTAATTCTGATGTTACTTTGTTTACGTTTTATCCTTCCCCTCCGGTTTATTATGGCATTTTAATTCCTAATTGTGATTTTATTAATTTAACCTTTGACAGGAAATTATTTGGGAATTTTCTCATCCATCTGTTAAAAATACACGAATGTACAGCCTAGTAGATGGCTTCGTCGAAAAGAAAATTTTCTCCGCTGAAACTATCTTTTTATTCCCTATGATCAAATGTACATATTCCGTGATGGTGTTCAATTTAAACCAATTATATTGCTCCCTTGAAGCTAAAACAACTGTTTTTGTAACGTAATAGTACCTTAGTCGGTTTTAAGCTTCTGATGGATTGACAGGATAGCAGTGCTCGGCCCTGTTCGCATGTCAGCTCCTAGTTTGGAAGCTGCAATGAAGTCAAAATTCTCATTTTCTTCTATTTGAGACCTACCAACTGGATGTACCTGCATTACCAATAAATGATTGTGTTCTCACTGAGACTGAAACTGCGTCGGCAGCACAGTGGTTAGGACTCTCGCCAACCATGCACATGGTCTAGGGTTCGAGCCCTCGCCGACGCACACCTGATATCTATGGTCGGCCTGCGAATTTCGGGCTACCGATATCCACGCTGAAAATTTCATACTTGTACTGAGAATACGGTGTGGAATCAAGCTGTAATAAAAAAATCCGAAACCATTAGCTTTACACGCCAAATAGTTATTCTCTAGACCATTTGGACCACCTGTTGTGCAAAATGGTATCAGTTCCATTTTTGTTTTCCCATTAACTAATTGGTCAAAGATGCTCATCCTGCTGTATGGAGCGATAGCTACTGGTCTACAAATTGAATGGGAACATCATCACACACTGTGGAATATAGGTACATCCAGAGGACTAGTCCCAAGTGGAATGAAATACACGTCCTGGATTTCACTTCTACTCACCATCTACCAAACAAGAATACTTTGTTAAGTCATGTTTTTGGTGTTTCCGCGCTCCCTGAGCTAAAAGTTTTTTTATGTGTATGGTTGGAATTATGCTTATGGAGATCATTAGAAGTACTAAAAATACCCCAGAGTTCCTAGAATACTTGTATTCAGACCAATGTCCACTCAACAGACGTGTTGAAAAACATAAAATTTATTAATTGTCAAACGTCAAGACCTACTGTACAAAAGGTCAGATACTACGCCTACACCACTACAAATAAATATAACGAAAAGCAAATCTTTGAAGACAATTTGTCGTAATCAAGATCGTCATGAGACAGAATTTCGAATGCATATTTCACATGGAAGTAAAGGATAATTTATCCATTCCTGATGATTAGATTATGAAACCAGACGTCAATTTATTTCAGTTCCCTGTGAAATTCTACTATTTTCAACATGGAAGTTTGCACCGATATGCAGCAGTTCAAGTTGCCACACTTCACGCAGCACACAAAGCCAGAGAAGAAAGAAGGAAAAATGCCAGATAGAGACAGTTAACAGAGATATGAGTCGAAAAGAATAGTAATTTTGAGGAACAATATATTTTTATTGGATATTATAAGTCACAAAGACTGGATGCATCTGCGCCAGCCATTGAGAACGATTTTGAGCCAGCCATATCACTGATTGTTTCCAGCCATTGGTTTTTACCGTTCCGAGAACCCCGACCAGGAAGTCTACATCCTCCTACGTGACTAGCTTAAACTAACTGTTGTGGATTTCATTGACTGATGAATCCATGTTTTGGTTTGACCACCGCTGTTTCTTTTCCAGCCTGACCCTATGCAAGCCAACATTGCCCGTCAATCGAGGAAGACAATGGCTAGGCATACGTAACAAAGCCTCGTAGATTAATTTCTCGACCCTCGACAGACGCCTAACCTCAAAGACAGCTGATCGTTGATCATAGGTGTCTACAACACTAGCTAATGAACAGTTCATCTTAAAGAAGAATAAAGTTTAAAATATGTTCAACAAACTTAAAATGTCTCATTCATCATCATCACCATGGTTTGCAAGGTAAACTGTGCAACTTACAGGTATCGGTCGAAGTATAAAGTGTAGAATAATCCATGTGACACCAAGTACAGCAACAAGCATATCAAAACGATTTCGTTTCGATTGCCAATAACCACCAAATTTCAATGCAATTATTTTCAATAGACATTCCAAACAAAAGAATAATGTGAATATTATACCCAATGAAACTTGAACTTGATATCTTGGTCTAACCCAACTAGATCTTTCCACACCAAGTTCATTGAACTAATGAAATTAGGAAATGAGGAAAACAAATGTGAAAAAATTGAGAGAAATTATGCTTACACAATGTTTTTTTTTCAATAACACACGGTAAGTGATACAGGATGACATTTTGAACACAATTTACTCTCATAATCATATAAATTTAGTCACATGGCTTCATAATTTGCCTTACACATATAATTTGCTTACCCTCTCTCTTCCCCTTGTTGTTTGTCGCAGTCGTTCATGTTTTGCTTCACTCATGTACATGAGTGAAATTGATGATTAGACATTTGAATAAAAATCAATTTAGGATAACATACATTCAGAAATAATAATATGAGTGTTATCAATCAATTACAATCAGATGGGAAATAAGACGAGCGTTTGATATTGAAAATAAATAAGTAACTTGTTAGAATGTTGTGATGTATGTGAAATGAATTGAAATAGAATTTTGAGATTATTTATTATCCTCCCCTGATTCGACTGACTGGTGGTAATAATATCTTCCATATGTCTGGTATTTGCATTGAGTCATTTCTGTTGCAGATGATGAGTATAGACTCAATGAACAAGGATTCAGTAATCAACCTCTCTCTCTCCAACTACATAGATTACTTCTTAGAATTTTAATCCTCTTCTACCCTATTGTGTGGTTTTGTGATAATGCATGCATTCCAATTGCTGAGCTTTTTTTTCTAAATTACTTATCTTCTCGGGATTATGAGTGTCAACAGCGCGCTTTTCGATTAGTGCATTACGTTTTCGCTGCGTCGGTGGCACAGTGGTTAGGACTCTCGCCAACCATGCACATGGTCCGGGGTTCGAGCCCTCGCCGACGCACACCTGATATCTATGGTCGGCCTGCGAATTTCGGGCTACCGATATTCACGCTGAAAATTCCATACTTGTACCAAAAATACAGTGTGGAATCAAGCTGTAATCAAAAATGAAAATAAAATAAAAAAAATAAAAATATAAAACTCTCATTTCTTTGTTGTATCTCACTACGAAGTTCTGGAATTTATTACAATCTGTCTACTTTCGAACACTGAACCTGTTGATATAATATCACTGACTACTTATACCTATAACAAAGTATTTTTTGACATTTTGTGACCTTTTAACACTAACATATCTATAATTGTATATATTGTTGGATTTATATCCATAGGCCCAAGTCAGTGAGTCTATCGTTTTGACATCATTTTAGTTAACTGTGCTTAAGTGTATTGTGTGTTGTTGTATTGTATTGTTGTTGTCGCTTTTTGCCCTTTTAGCTGTAAATTATTTTCCCTTTGCTGGTGTTGTTTTGATTGCTTTGTCCGTTGATTTCCAATTTTAAGGGAAGCAGCCAAAAAGTTCTTGGCCAACATCAACAGCAACAACAACAGACGACAGTCAGCATAAATGGGAGGAACCTGAAAGAAACAACCTCCTTCACCTACCTGGGAAGCATCGTTTCAACTACAGCCATATGGAACTGACGAGGATATCAAAGCCAGAATCGGAAAAGCAAGAAGGCTTTCATTACCCTTAAGTCTGTGTGGAGGTCAACATCAGTCAGCATCAAAAATAAGATCCGGATTTTCAACTCCAATGTAAAGTCAGTGCTACTATACTGATCAGAGACTTGGCGCGTCATACAGAGCATCTCAAACAAACTTCAGACCTTCATTAATAGTTGTCTTAGCTCAATACTCAAGATTAGATGGTCGACCAGAAAAGATCAGCAACAGGGATCTCTTGCAACGAGCGAACCAATCAGGAACCGACTGTGAAACGAATAGGCAGGAAGAAATTGAGGTGGATTGGCCATACGCTGAGAAAATCATCAAGTGACATCACTAGACAAGCCCTCTAGTGGAACTCGAAAGGGAAGCGGCTAGTTGGTCGTCAGTGCAAGGGTGACCTGGAGAAGGTCATTTGAGGAGGAGATGAAAGCATGTGGGCAGACTTGGAGCGGAGTGAAAAAGTTGGCAGAAAACCTAAGGTAATGGAGGTGCGCAGCCGAAGCCCTATTTTCCTCTAGGAATTAAAGGATATAATAATAATATCTTCTCGGGGTCAACCGTTCTTCCCGTAATTAAATTCTTATGTTGTGACAATCTGACTACCACTGACCTACTAGTTTGACCTATGTAGTTGACCTCACAGTTATCGCAGGGTATTTTGTAAATTATATCATTTTTTCTAATTGGGTCAACTGGGTCCTTTAACCTACAAAGCTTCTCCCTGAGTGAGTTTGTAGGTTTAAATGCTACCCTAATTCCTGTTTTATTTAGAATCCTACGTAGGGTCTCGGATATCCCTTCTTTATATGGTATGACTGCAGATGACTTATATTCTGTTTTATTTATGTTGTTATTTGTTTCACCATTAGTCTTTTTGCTTTCGACGTTTTCTAATCCTCCTAATGGATTTTATAAGATAGTTATCGAAGACCTACACCTCTTCTTCTATCATTTTCATCTCATCGTTTAGGTTTTTTGTTGCACTACTTACTTACTGCTGTCACTCGGTTTCTGTGAGTAACTTGATATGAATATGAGCAGCAATAAATTATGCTCGAAACGTAGTCATAAGTTAATATTACCGTATAACATTCTGTGATTTTATGAAAATAAAATTTTCATGCAGTGGAACATAGAGCTTCAGGCTTGAGTTGCTTACTGCTTTTACAGCGTGTGGTTGCCAGACTCACGCCAAACCTTTCTCTGCTTACCTGACTTTTCATTGTACCACAGAAGCTCTCACCGAATTCATTGAATAGCCGGAGGTATGTGTCTGTCATATCCTGATCAACATTGGCTAAGATTATTATTATATCAGTTGTTTAAAGGCAGTTGAGTTCAATCTATCGAAAAATTACTTAAAAATAAACGGCTTAAATGATGGCATAGATAAGGTTTTCCCCCACTTAAAATTCCCCCCATTACTTCAGCCTTATAGTAGAGTAGAAAATAGTGAAAAATTAAATCATACAAGCGTTAGAACCCTGGGGATAAAAATTAAATCACTTACAGGGAAGAATAGGAGGAAACAATTCGCAACAACAAGTGTTGCTGATGCCCGTTTGAATAAAATATGCTGTGTTATGTCGTAAATGAAACACCGGAACTTTAAACTTTTCTTCTCTAGATTATTTGACATCGGTGTGACAATATTTCTTGTTTGACCAGGTTCTTGATGTAATTCTATAAAACACATTAAAATAGAGGATTTTAAAAGATAACATAGGTTGAAATACGTCAGTTCCTACAGTTGATAATGACTTCAGGCTGTAACTTTCAGCGTGTTGGTAGGCTGCTGATAAAAATATTTCAGTAATATGCGGTGTCATCGGAGGAGAAGTTACAATAAGATTAAGGATTTGGTGTAATGTATTCCAACAGAAAAGAGGACAAGTAGAAACATTTAGATACCCGCCAGCTTTTTGAATAGTCATGGGTCTGTGATAAAGACGAGCCTGAGAAAACAATAATTTCGAGGATTCCTCTCAACTGGCTGGCTACAACTAGAACAATACAAAGATATAAATTACATGTGAACACATTTTTTTCCACGATGACAAGGAGTAATTGGTAGGAATTATGAGAGGCATTAGTCCGGAATAATGTAAGTTGTTAAATAATTAGGAGTGAAAAGGATTGACTTTTTATAGGAAATTCCATATTACCATGAGCCTGCATCATTTAGAGAACTACTGGAAATCCTGGGGGGAACTGGATAGCTGCTTCGTCCTGGTTTGGGACTCTTCATCAGCACGCACCCACCGGGGTTCGAACCAAGGACCTTCTGGTTACAGGGCGAGCTCGTAGACCATTGAGCCACTGGGACCCAATCCAATGGGCCTTGAATTCTAACTTCTGCTAATTCACGACCAATTCGCAATGTCTTCTTCGACGAGTTACTGCCTCATCTTCAACCCGCTGCAATAAAAATAAATCCCTACAAAAACAGTACTTGAAAATTCCATATTAGTTTGTAAGTTAGATAAACCAGACCGTTAATGAAACAGTACTATTTACTGGATGACAAGGTTTCGAACAAAATTTATTGTTCATAATCATTGCATCAATTATAATCACACGACTTTGAAACTTGAGTTTTATCGTTTTCTTTGTTCTCTCCTATTTGTCATCATTGAGGTAGTAGAATTTTCCAGATGTTGGATCATTTCTATGACACATGTTTGCAGTTGATCCAATCTCTCCCTCCTCAAACTGTTATTTCAGATTTTAGAAATGTCATCTTATTCATTACTATTGTATGGCTGTTTTGCGTGCAATTGCATGTAGTGTCGTTATAGCTTAATTATTCCCCAGATTTCTGATCTTAACAGGGTCAACTAATCTTGATTTAGCTTTGTTATTGTGCTGCCTTGCTAGTCTCACTGCCCCTGTTCTACTACATTGACCGACGTATTTGATCTGACAATCTTTGCAGGCGGGGTTTAGATAAATTGAATTGTTTTGTTTTAAAGGCTCCACAGGATTGATCGTTAAACCGACAAAGCTTGTTTCTAATTGAGTTTGTGGGTCTGAATGTCACTTTTGCAAAGACATAGGGGAAACTAGTAGAACAGGGGCAATTAGACTAGCCGAGCAGCACAGAAACGTAGCAAAATCTAGGTTAGTTGGCCCGAATAAGATAAGTAATCTAGAGAATAGTTCGGCTGTATCACACACTACGTGCAATTACACATCAATAAATTGGGATGGATGGGTAAGATGACAGTTTTAGAATCTAATGTCACAGGGTGGAGGGACAGATTGATAACAGAAGCTTTATTTATCGAATCAACTGCAACCAAGTGTAATAGGGATGATTCAACACGTGTCCAGTTGGACATCTGGAAAATTCTGCTACCTCAACGACGACAAATAGGGGAGAACAAAGAAAACGATAAAACTGAAGTTTCGAAGTCGTGTGATTATAATTGATACAATTATGAACAGTGATAAATTTTGTTCGAGACCTTGTCATGCAGTAAGTAATACTTTTTCACTAACTGTGTGATACGTCTAATAAACAAACTAATATGGAATTACTTACTACCTCAGTGCCCAAGTTTTACACTCATATTTATAGGAAAATTAGATGAATAGACTTGAAAACAAAATGACACATTTCAGCAGAGTTCTGCAGGTAGAAGCAAAGTTTTACCAGAAAGAGTATAACAGATAATAGGTTACGTAACCACAGAAAATATGTTGTTATAAAATAGTCAAAAAGGGAAAAGGGTAGGGTGAGTCATGTTTTGACGAAAAATAAAATCTTCTAAACAGGACAGTTTTGATGTGGTTTTGTTCTCTGAGCTGGATAGTTAGTTTGCGAAGCTTTCATCACCTTACTGGGTGACATCTTCAGCGCATACTTCAAATTGAAGTGAGCTTTTAGGTTTCTCCACGAGTTTATTAATCATTCCTCCTGGTGACCTTGGACGTGATTGGTTGTTTATGTATGTTTTCACACCTTCTAGGTTACTTGTATTGGAACTGATTGTTTCTGTGACTTGAACTTTGGCCAATCGTGTGTGAAGTTTCTTTCTTATTGGTTGATAAATTTTGTCTATCTCGATGTGTCTATTGATTGATGATTCACTGGAATGCCAAGCTTCTAAAAATTCTCTAGCATTCTTGTTATTTCCTTTGTCTAATATTTGAACGTTGTCCCAGTCGAATTGATGTCCGTGGTTGTCTGTGTGTAGTGAAATGAGGGAGTGTATATCATGTCTTTTGACGGCTAGCTTATGTTCGTGGATACGAAGACGAAGGGGACGTCCACTATGGCCAATGTAGTGTTTTTCACAGTTGTTACAGTTTATTTTGTAGATGATGTTGGTTTTGTCTTCTTTCGCTGTTGAGTCTTTTGGTTGACATAGAATTGAGTGCAGCGACTTTGTTGGTTTGTGTACGACGTCAATTCCTAAAGGTTTGAAGAGTCTTTTAGTGATTTCTGAGATATCCTTTATATATGGTAAGGCGATTTTCTTTGTGTTTTCCTTGGTGGCTTTTGTTTTGGTAGGTTGGCTTGGGGGTATATGTCTCTTGATGAAATTCCGGGGATATCCATATATAAAGGATATCTCAGAAATCACTAAAAGACTCTTCAAACCTTTAGGAATTGACGTCGTACACAAACCAACAAAGTCGCTGCACTCAATTCTATGTCAACCAAAAGACTCAACAGCGAAAGAAGACAAAACCAACATCATCTACAAAATAAACTGTAACAACTGTGAAAAACACTACATTGGCCATAGTGGACGTCCCCTTCGTCTTCGTATCCACGAACATAAGCTAGCCGTCAAAAGACATGATATACACTCCCTCATTTCACTACACACAGACAACCACGGACATCAATTCGACTGGGACAACGTTCAAATATTAGACAAAGGAAATAACAAGAATGCTAGAGAATTTTTAGAAGCTTGGCATTCCAGTGAATCATCAATCAATAGACACATCGAGATAGACAAAATTTATCAACCAATAAGAAAGAAACTTCACACACGATTGGCCAAAGTTCAAGTCACAGAAACAATCAGTTCCAATACAAGTAACCTAGAAGGTGTGAAAACATACATAAACAACCAATCACGTCCAAGGTCACCAGGAGGAATGATTAATAAACTCGTGGAGAAACCTAAAAGCTCACTTCAATTTGAAGTATGCGCTGAAGATGTCACCCAGTAAGGTGATGAAAGCTTCGCAAACTAACTATCCAGCTCAGAGAACAAAACCACATCAAAATTATCCACCTGAGCTACAAATCTTCTCTATCATATCTAAACAGGACAGTAGATGAAGGAGTAAAATTTGTGAAGTCTGTCATTATCAAGGCAATGCGAGATTCACCTCTGTCTCCTTCTGCTTACGTAGCCTTGGTTTTATTCTTTTGATGGCGATTGCCCACAACAAAACGTAGCAGGCTAGATCTATTTTGCGTGTCGATTATTTTGAACGTCTTTAGATCGTCCACAATACGGCCAGTGTTCAATCTAACTGTTTAATACCTGTGAGCTCTGTAGTCTCAAGTTCTTTTTTATGAGGTCAAAAATATGGACAATGATCCTTCTGTTTGTCATTCCAGTGTATGTGCTTTAGTACATAAATGTAAATCGGTAGACATATTTTGGAGGTAACATGAGGTGGGCATTTGTCTACTTTTGACTGTCTTAAAACAACTGATCATGCAGGAACATCCAGCTACTTGATGAGACCCAAATAGGACTAAATACCCGTTATCGTAGATTCCGCTACTAGTCACCATCCACCAATTAACTTCCAGTTATACGTCTAGACATTGTCGAAGCATCTGCACAAGAAGCCAACAAGTCAACCTGAGATCGAGCATTTCGGTCCAATCTATAGACGAGAAAATCTAAAAATTCAATTAGATACACGCAGATGAACTTTCCGAAAGTTTTATCTAAGAGAAAAAGGTACTCAACCCCAAATAAACCACGAAAATATCTGAGAAAAAAAGTAAAATGACAGGTGACTTACTTGGCCGTGGTGGGATTTGTAGTGGTTGTGTAAGCCGTATACGACCTTTTAAATCCAACCATCTACGTTGATCGACAGTGAGAAGCGCTGTTCCCTAAGGAAAAGCAAAGAGGGAATTCAGATGATGAGTAAGGCTTGTTCTGGTGATATCGTCACTGTAATTGTCGTTTTCTGATGTCAGGTTAGCATAACACATTCTACTACTTGGCATGAATAGTTATGTACAATAAGTTAGCACAGATATGATAATCGACTGTGAAAGTTTGCCTCTAACCCTTCGTTTGGTTTGGAATGAATCTTATGAGTCAAGGTAAGGCGGTTACAGGGCTGACGGTAAAATATACACTACTGTGCCATTCAAGTATTTAAACAGGAAACTGTTAGTGAAATAGAATTCATTCTTATATTGTTGCCTTCAGAAATTAGTTTTTAGGGATTGTATCTGTTTCAGGTTAGACCGTGGATTGATATCATTTAGAGAAAACCATCAGAAATTACTGGAGAGCTGTTTCATCCTCATGTAGGACTCATCGGCAGTACGCTGTCCAGCACTCCTCTCTGGTTTTCACCTGTTCTCCAGATATTATCGCATTTCTTTTCGTTCTGAGTAGAGAATAGGGCTTCAGACCCCAGCATTGAAGTGGTTTTATTTTTACGAGGTGTAATTATTAATCTCACGCTCAACCTCCTCTCTTCATTGGACTTGCTACCAGCTAACTAAGGTTTAAGGGTACATCAGTAGGAGGTTGGATCCGGGACCACATGAGTGGTGGGCGAACATTCTGCCACTGAGCTACCAATGCATTAGAAACTACAGAATACTAGATAGCTGATTTGTCCTAGTTTGGGAGTTTTCAGAAGTGTGCACCCACCGAGGACCGAACCCAGGCACTTTCGATTACAAGGCAAGCTAAAGGATAGTATTGCCGGGAGTTCTAGTGAGAATTCGTTACCTGTGTGGTTTACCACAGGTTGTGAGTGAAGACAGATCCCCGCTATGGACGATATTGTCTGGCATAAGTCACGGTGTAATCATGAATTGGTAGAAGTTAGAATTGTTAGCTGGTCAGTTGTGTTTCAATGGTGTTGAATGATCCACACGAGGTTCTGAGTTCGAATTCTGGAGGTGGGTATATACTTCCGATGAATCCCAAACTAAGACGAAACAGCTGTCCAATACACTCCTAGCTGCTTTCCCAATGGTTTTCTAACAAATATCAAGTCAAGATGAAATCTTGTAACCAGTCAAATTCCTGCAAACCATTACTTGAATGTTCACTATCATTTTAAAATGTAACAAGCCTGATATGGCATTTATACTGCAAATATGACAATGAATGTTAATTTTGAACTCCATACACAGACATAATTTAATTCTCAGTTCCTTAAAATCTTCTTTTCTATAATTTATGTTTGGCTTATCGAAGATATCGACACACATGTGTTATTTGTGAAAGAAGAAACGTTCAGACGAGAGTTATCCTTCTCGGCAATATCATTCTTCAGCTGTACAATCGCATTTATATAGGATAAGGATGTGCTATCCCTGTTGGCCTCATAAGTGCATATCTATCACTTCACCTACTCCTGTAGAGCTAGGTATGTCAGCCTTACCCAGAGTTTGCTATCTAAACGTATCGTCGAACAGTTACCCTACTGGTTTTATAAAAGAGAAGGAAAATCCCGCCCCCCCCCCTCACTTCCACATCTGTATCATAGATCGAGTTTGGACACCAAGCAAACCCTTAAAACCTTACTTCAAAGTCATCTACAGAATACGCTGGAATCTCGCTAGAGGCGTACACAAATCAAAATGACAGTTGACATGTTAAATCCAGAACTCTGCATACATCAGGGGTTTCTTCAGTCAATAAATCGACAATAAACTAAATGTGTCTGGATATGTGAATTTTTGGGTTTTTGTTGTTAACTTAACTCACATTCAATGTTAGTTGACCTGTACTCAATCCTGTCAGTTGCATTACTTCACACAATTTCCTTATTTAATTTAATTTTAACTTTTTTACCCCCAATAATTCCTTTTTCATCTTACATGATTTGTTATCTAAAACTCTTTACTGAACATCTTTTCTTTCAAATATGTTATTTGTATTTTTAAAACAAAACTGCCAAAATCAGTTCTTTCTTTACGCCTTTCTTACCTTATTCTCACTATAGTTAGCAATGACAACGCCAACAAATAAAGTTAAGCCAATCAAGCATCCAATAAATACGAATAAATGAATGTAGATCACATGTCGCTGTAAAAGAATGCACACACAAAAAGAAATAATATCACTGTCATTTATATGACAAGAGGATTATTCTTAAAGAGAAAGCAAAAAATAAAACAAACCAGGCTGTTGACTTCTCCGCCTGTTTGCTCATTTAAGTAAGATCCAGGCGGGATTAGAGAGGAATGACACTGTCAACTGTCAACTTTGAACTCCTCTTGGTAGACTGCTTTCTAGCTAGCCCAGAAAACAATTCCTTATCACCAACTATCAACCAGCTCCATCTCTACAAGAGACACAATGATGATAATTTCATTATTTGTGATGAGAATTTAGATGTCACAAATTTACTCCTTCAGTCATTCCCAAGCGAACATCGACTTCAGTCGAGAAGTCGATGTTTAAATGAGAAGAAATGCTGATAACTCGTTGAAGAGATCCAAATACAAAAAGCTCCACATGGATTGGACAGTTTATCAGTTTTCAGAATTGTGTTCTACGAAGCAGAAATAGAAACTTCATGTCCTTTTTTCCTCAAAGATTTGGGATATATGAACCGAGGAATCTACTGATGAAGAAACTTCTTGGAAAGTGCTTTTACACCCAGAATCACAAACAAGAATCTAAAACTAAAGAAAACCTCCGGAAGGGTTTAATTCACCCCAAGAAGATATGGATACTTAATCTCGAATTTAAAAGCCAAGATCCTGCGTAAACTACGCTTGAAATCTCTCAATAAGACATACTTCGCCTCCAGTCTACGAGTGATATTTTCTTACAAAAGAACTATTCGACATCCACATGATGGACAGTCTATCACATTGGGCCACTTCAACATGCATATACTAGTTCACGTGTTCCTGTGTCTTGTTAACACTATCCAACCTGGTTGGCTTGCAAAAGGAGAATTCAACTGTGTGTATATAGTTCAGTAACAAAACATCTAGTGAACCAGGGACATTCAACTCCATTTGTTAGGTCATATAAAACATCCTATCAAATCTCTCAAAGGCAGTGTGATCAAAGCATCTGTCTAGCTGGGCCTACCTGGAAGCACCAACGATCCACACGTTTAAGCCCACACTGTGTATGTTTTCAGAATAAATACGTCTAACCTTTACCTCGACAATGAACATTGTAAAAAGTTAATTCTTATTTGCTCTAGTACACTTTTTATCTGAAATTCTCGCCTATTCTATTATTATTGCATTTTGAAACCCTTATGGCACACTTATGATCTGTTTTCCTTAATATTTATGGTCCTCTGTTGTTTTCATGCGATCATCCTGTTTATTACAGGTTTGCAATTTCATTAGTGTGACCCTTGACTGGAAGAAGTTCTAGAAATTCCTCACCCATTTACTATAAATAAACGAAGTTGATTGTTACGTCGAAGAGGAAATTTTCATCGGCTCATTTGTATTTTTTTAAATATTTCCTACAACTTTAACTTCCTGACTGTGAAATTCCGTGTGATCATCACTGATATTTAAATGATTGATTCATTGTCAGTTAAGGCGTTGCATGCATTCACTTTCGTTAGTGTAATGAAGAACCGTCCATATTAGTTTGTTTATTAGACGTATCACACAGTCAGTGAAACAGTATTATTTACTGGATGACAAGGTTTCGAACAAAATTTATTACTGTTCATAACTGTATTAATTATAATCACACGACTTCGAAACTCGGGTTTCACAGTTTTCTTTGTTCTCTACTATTTGTCGTCATTAGGGTAGTAGAATTTCCCAAATATCCGATTGGAAAGGTGTTGACTGTCTCTCAGTTGATTCGATAAACAAGGCCTCTGTTGTCAGTCTCTCCCTCCATTCATTCTGTTACAACAGATTTTAAAACTGTCATCTTAAACCATCCAATTTATGACAGTGTTGTGTTTACAGGAAACCTGCACATTCAAACAGATATTTGGACTTCCGATCATCTCGTCGTATTTCAGTAAAAATAGGATTTCGATTAAGAAAGGAAGACGAAATTCGCAGTATAAAATGACGTTATCATTCTATTTCACAGGCTCTCAACAGCTGCAGACTACCTGATATTACAATGGTAACATAAATGATAATAACATACTTTAATGTTTGAGTGGCAGTAAAGAAGAGATAAAATTGACGCATCCAAAATGAAGAATTACAAGTTTTAGTTTAAGTTTTCATCATCAAGCTGTACGCTTTCGAAGTAGATAATTGGGGTGAGAGGAGGGGTAAGACAGACAACAGGAAAAATTAATTAACAGAACAGTGTTAGCTTGTAGCTTGTTCACATAGCGACTCAAAAAGCAAAAGAGGTTACAGTTTATAACATTGAGATTTGTTCAGTGAGTCGAGATCACTGAGTTAGATGACTAATTAATGTAATCAAGATCAAAATTTAGTCAACGAGGGAGTGAGAGGTTAATCACACTCTCTTTCTGTATGCATAAGTCTGATTTGAATCGTTTGATTGCGATCGCTTCGGCAAATCGTAGTAAATTTGCTGTCCTTTGTCTATTTAATATTTTGGAGGACTTAAAAATCTCTACGAGATGTCCGGTATCAACAAAATGTCTGGTGAGTGGTCTTTGAGAATATTTGCTTCCTTTCAGGCACAAGTTTCCTGGAATATGTCGAGAAAACTGAATAGAAGCCCTTCTTTCTGTCCTTCCAATGTACTTGCTCCCGCAAGTGCACGTGAATTCATAAACGCAGTTGGAGGTGACATCATCAGGGTATTTATCCAGTTTTGAATGGATTAAAGAAGGAGTGGTGCTGTATACTGTTATGAGTTTTGCTGTCGGAAAGCTTCTATTTATTGCATCTTTCAGTCTTTTGTCAATCTTTTGTGACACTGCATCTCTTTTGGATGGAAGACAAATAAACACTTTTTTCTTTTCCACAGTTGGGTGCTTTTCTTTCTTATCTTTTTCTCTGCTATACTTTTGTATTAATCTCTTTGGGTATCCAGTTTTTTAGGCATTTCTCGACGAAATCTAATTCTTCTTCGACCTTGTTTGGTGAACATAGCTTCCTGGCTCTGTCGTACAAAGTCCTCACTAATCCACGTTTATAGCTTATGGGACAATAGCTGTTATAGTGAAGATATTGTCCAATCCAGGTTTCTTTTCTATAGATGGACTTTTTGATCACGCCTTCATTTGTTCTTTTTACATTTAGATCCAGGAAATTGAACTTATTTTTATGTTCATATTCCATGGTGAATTTAATATTTGGATGGATTTCATTGAGGCGATCATATAGTGCTGACGCGTGATTCATGTCGTTGCAAACAGCAAATGTGTCATCAACAAATCGGCGATAGTAAGTTGTTCCATTGATAGCAGAACTAAGTTGAGTCTGTTCAAGGTAGCCCATGAAGGTATCAGCCAGGATAGGTCCTAGAGGCGAACCCATTGCGACCCCATCAATTTGTCTTTAAAGATGATTGTTGAATTTGAATTGCATATCTTTAGTGCAGAGCAGCAGTAGTCGCTTCATCTCTCTTTCCGGTAGGATTGGTGAAATTTTTAGGTGATGGAGCACAAAAACTAAGTAGTATCAAGGGAAATCTAAGACAGGAAGTGAAGCATATAAGAGAAGCTTTGAAGCTTAATAGTTATCTTGATAAATTAGTCAGAAAGTATGAAGGGAAATGTAAAGATAAAATAAATAATTATAGTAGTGATAGTGGTGATAATATTAACAATAAAAAGTAATAATAATGACGACATGCATGTCAAACATGTGCAAAAAAATGACAACACCAACAATAAGGAATATTAATCATCAGTAGTAATTCTATACAGGGAAGGAACCTCGGAAACCTTACGCAGAATTCTTAACAATGCTGGCAGGAATAAAGGTGGCCGGTATTCAAACCAACAAACTCAATTAGAAACAAGCTTCGTCGGTTGAAGGATCATGTAGAGCCTTCAAAACAAAAAAAATTAGTTTGTATAATACCCTGCCTGCAATGATTGTCAGGTCAAATACATAGGTCAAACTAGTAGAACAGGGGCTCCCAGACTAGCCGAGCAGCACAGAAACCTAGCAACATCTAGGTTAGTTGACCCGAATAGGATAAGAAATCCAGACAATAGTTCAGCTATAGCACTCACTACATGCAGTTACCCACAACCATACAATAGAATGGGATAGGATGACATTTTTAAAATCTAATGTAATAGGGTGGACGGAGGGGGAGATTGATCACAGAGGTATTGTTTATCGAATCAACTGAGAGAGAATACGTGTAATAGGAATGATTCAACACCTTTCCAATCGGAGTCGTTTGATTATAATTGGTGCAATGATTATGAACAGTGATAAATTTTGTTCGAAACCTTATCATCCAGTAAATAATACTGTTTCACTGACTGTGTGATATATCTAATAAACCAACTAATATGGAATTATTTACTACAACATTGCCCAAGTTTTACATATATATATATATATATATATATATATATATATATATATACTAGTCCAATACTGTCCTACAGGAAGTCAATCGTGAGGTCAAACGGCTCAGTGGCAACGTCTCTGGTTGAACCACTGCGTGGCGCGGGTTCAAATCCCAGAAAGACAATGAGTTTCTCGATGACTAGAGATAGATCTTGGTGGTTGGTGAGTGCCAGCAAGCATGGAATCTAGGTCGAAGGCTTCCTCGTACTGACTGCCTCCAACCATTTGACAACAACAGCGTCTATTCATTTTGATATCACTATTATTAAACCAAATTATATCTGGCGTTAATGCACATTAGGTCATATCCACATATATTGATTGATTGACTTACCGGACCAATACGCTCTTTTATAACATCACGTATTTCAACCCAACCTTCTAGGGACAGAACTTCAAATAAAGCCAGTATTGCATTGCCAATATTATCAAAATTGAAATTCCTCGGATTAGCCCATACTCTTGGTACAAGTAGTTTTAATGGTTCACCTTTAACACTTTTCAGTTTAGTTGAGGCTAATTCACGCATAAATCTTCCAACACATTTTTCCTAAAGATAATAATTAATAATAATAATAATGATGATAATCACTTTATTCCAAACAACAATAATACTAATTATACAGAATGGAATTTTCAGCCTTTCTTCCATACATATTGCAACAGTTTAGCTCCTTATTATAAATAATATTAATGCATAGTATTGAAAAAATCATGAAACCACAAGAGATGAAAACTACTGAAATTTAATGAGTAGTAAATAAGTAGTCTGTCTGTCTGTCTGTCTATTTTCGATATAGAACTTTGCACAAATGTGCGGAAGTTCAAGTCGCCACACTCCATGTAGCACGCGAAGCAAGAGAAGAAAGTACAAGAAAAGCATAATAGTGACAGTAAGCAGAGGTGTGAGACAAAGGAAGAGTAATAACGCAGAACAAAACAGTTTCATTGGAAATCATAAGTCACAAGGAGTGGATGCATCTGCGCTATGGATTGAGAACGATTTTGAGCCATGTCACCAATTGTTTCCAACCATAGATTTTTAGCGTCCCGAGGACCCCAACCAGTCAGGAAGTCTACACCTTCCTACGTGGCTTAGACTAACTGTTGTAGATTTCATTGACTGGTGCCATGTTTTGGTTTGGCCGCCGTTAGCTTTTTTCCAGCCTGATCCTATATCCGCTAGCATTGCTCGTCGAGGAAGGCGATGACTAGGCATACGTAACACATGTCCTAACCATCTCAGCCTTTGTAACTTCCCGACTTCGTCGATTGATTTCCCCTGTTTACCTAGAACTCGACGCCTAACCTCAATATTGCTCACTTTATTATGCCACTTCACACGGGAAATAGAGCGCAGGCACCTATGATCAAAGACAGCTAATCTTTTCATGTCTTCCACTCTCAGTGGCCAGGTCTCACTGACAGCCATAAAGGAGGACGGAGCGGACTGATGAGCAGTACACCCACCCTTTGGTCGATAAGTAGTATAATGAATAAAATGTTTGATGATAAACATTTGCCATACTTTCCAGTTCAGTTACTAACTTCAAAAGTTTATAACCTTTTTTCTGAGATTTGTCCCTTCATACACAAAACCTGCGCTAAATATGGTGTGGTTGAATTGTCATATTCAATAGCCGTGTGATAATAAATTCTCATGAAGTTTCTTCGGGTCTCACCCCCCCCCCAAGAGATACAAGGGAAAAGTGAGGATGCTCAGTATCGCCTTGATATGATTATGATCTGATATGATTCAAATTTGCCTTTACTAGCCGGCTATTGTGTGGTTAAAGTGATGGATTTATAGTGAATTGTAGAGTCTGAAGAAGACGGATTAACTGAAACCACAATTGTTCTCTCTGATATTTGTGAATCTGAGGTCAAATTCTAATCACACTGTATTCAGTTTGGCTTATTATATTTTGATGACTGTTTCATGCCCCATATGAGTGGACAAAGTTTTCAAAAACAAGAGATGCCCTTCTTATTATTCGAATCAAATCCGAATAATTCTGCTGTGGAAGCCACATCTCACACCAAACCAACGTTATTACTTCACCATCATTATTGTTATTGTTATTTGTCACACTTGAAACAAAAACTGAGATTAAAATATGGATTTTGCAGCTTGATGTATGAAGTTTCGAAAGCTGTAGTGCTTCACGAGGTGGAGTCACTTGCCTGACTTCCAATCTTCTCTATTTAACACCAGGCTTACTACATGCTAAGCAAGGTTTGAAAATGCGTCAACCGGATCACATGGACGGGGGTTGGTAGGCAATCATTCTACTTGCTAGTGAAGCGTTGATATACTGAACAGGTATTCCTTACTGGTTTGCGACTATTCACAATTACATGGAGGATTTAATCATGAGCTGACATCAGTTAGAGAACCACTGGAAAACCTGGGAGTACTGGACAGCTGTTTCGTCCTAGTTTGGGACTCTTCAACAGTAGGCACCCACCGGGATTCGAACACAGGACCTTCTGGTTACAAGGCGAGCTCGTAGACCATTGAGCCACTAGGACCCGATCCAATGGTCCTTGAATTCTAACTTCTGCCAGTTCACGACTTCTTCACAATTACGCAGTCAGAGATTAAACTTGAGACTTTCACATCAGTGAACGAGCTCGATGACCATTCCGCCACCTTGATTATTGTCTTCATATTTTAATCTCGGTTTCAATTCAAGTGTGACAAATAACAATGTTGGTGAAATAATAACGTTGGTGTGGTGTAAGATGTGGCACACATAGCAGAATTATTCGGATTTGATTCGAATAATAAGAAGGACTTTGTCCAGTCACATGAATCATGAAACAGTCATCAAAATATAATAAACCAAACTGAATACAGTGTGATCAGAATTTGACCTCAGACTCACAAATATTGGAGCGAACAATTGTGGTTTCAGTTAATCCGTCTTCTTCAGGATCTATAATTCATTACAAATTCATTAATTTAAGCATACAATAGCCAACCAGCACGTAAAGGCAAATCATATCAAGGTAATATGATTATGAGCAATAAATTGTGCTCGAAACATGTTCATCAGTAAGTATTACTGTATAACACTGTGCGTCGGTGGCACAGTGGTTAGGACTCTCCCCGACCATGCACATGATTCGGAGTTCGACCTCCTGCCGACGCACACCTGATATATATAGTCGGCCTGCAAAATTTCGGCTACCGATATCACAGGCTGAAAATTTCATACTTGTACCAAAAATACAATGTGGAATCAAGCTGTAATCAAAATAAATAAACAAATAAAAATTGTCCACTAATTTATTCACGCCGACTCTGATTCTATTCACCACAATGGTATCACCATGGTAAGTTAAATGAATACATGATTTAATGAATGAGTAGTAAGTGTAGTAGTGAGACGCAAATTTTGCGTCATCGGAAGTTTTGAAGTAGTAATTCGAAGGTCAAATTTTTTTACATATAACAAAAAATGGGGGTGGGAAAAATAACTTTATAACTTACTTTAGTTGTTATATTTCTATCATTACATATAGCCAAACGTCCACCGAATAAATGCACACCATAGACAGCAAACATAAACATGAATACAACCAGGAGGACTGATACCTAGAATGGATAGACAGATAAACAGAAAAGTCGAAATGACTTAAAGTTTAGGGTAAAAAGAATATTGGTGTTGTTACATAACTCTTTGCACTATTGATGTACTGTCTATTTTCATGGATACAATATAGACAGTTGTGTATAGATTCAAGTTCAGTCGAGGAGGAATTTATGCATAAAATGGCTGGAATTGTATTTAAACTTTCGTTTCATTAAGCAATTAGTTTCTGGTATATCGTCTTTTCAATAATTTCTGCTTTCAAGTTGAACTGCAGCTCTGTCCCACCTTATTTGCATGATTATCTGTTAGACCAGTCAATCAAATCACCAGAACAATAAAATCCAGTTAAGTGCAGAATGTAAATAAGATATTAAGAAGAGAAACCCTGCGAGGCGATTTCATTTCGCAGTTTACTACTAGCACGGTCGACACTATTCAATGGTCGGAGGTGACCAGCACAAGAAAGCCTTGGACATACCTAGATTTTGTGCTAGTTGGCGTACTCAGCCAGTTAGCAAGGCGTACCTGCAATCCTGAGGTAACTCATTTCGCTTCTAAGATTCGAGCCTGTTACCCAGTGAGCGTTGTAGTCAAAGCTGTTACCACTCAGCCAGTTATTCGAGCTGGCGACTGTCCTCCTGTAGGACTGTATTGGATGCCTTGACTGGACACTAGTCAGTAAACAGTGCATTGTGTCTAGCTGTTTGTTTTCTGTAGAGGTAATTCTGACAGTCAAGAGTGCACAAAACATAGGATAAAATCCCAGTTGTAGCACTGCATGCATTAACACACAACCACAAAGTTGGGTGGATGGAACAGCGTCGAAATTCAAAAACGTAATATAGGTAGGTAGATAAAGAGAAAGACTGATTACTGAATCCTGGTTCATCGAGTCTGCACACCCAGCACATGCAACAGAAATGCCTCAATGTAAATACCAGAGATATGCATGGAAGATATTACTACCGCCAGTCAGTCAGTCAGTCAAATCATAAGAGGATAATAAATAATCTCAAAATTTCATTTTAATTCACGTACATCCCAACATTCTAACAAGTTACTTATTTATTTTGACAATAAACATTAATATTAACATATTTATGGACAGTTGGGAAAATAGTGTTCTTAATACATTTAATCCTACTCCAAAACTATGGTGGAGATATGTGGATGACACTTTCATGATGTTAAAAACAGAACATATCACTCTCTAGCTTCTTGACACACAGAAACTCACTAGTGGAGGGAATAAAATTCACATTTGAATCGGAAAGTGAACAAGGAGAACAAGCTGTGCTGTTAGATTGTAAGATAAAACGAATAGAAGAAGGTAAACTACACAGTAGTGTCTACAGAAAATCAACTCATTCTAATAGATACTTAAACTTTAATTCATCTCATCCGTTAACTGTTAAGGCAGGCTTGGTTAAGTGTTTAACAAACCGAGCAGTAGCACTAAGTAGCACAAGAAAAGACCTAAATGATGAAATAAAACAGATAGAAGAGGTGTTGGTGCTAAATAAATCTCCTATAAAATTCATTAGGAAGATCCAAAAGGATCAGAAGCAAAATAAAAATAATGGTGAAACTAAAAATGAAGACATAAATAAGAGAGAATATAAGTCATCTACAGTTATGCCATATAAAGAGGGGACATCTGAGACCCTACATAGGATTCTAAATAAAGCAGGAATTAGGGTGGCATTCAAACCTACAAACTCACTCAGGTAGGATAAGCTCCGTAGGTTAAAGGACCCAGTTGAACCAATTAGACAAAATAATATAATTTACGAAATACCCTGCAATGACTGTGAGGTCAACTACATAGGTCAAACTAGTAGGTCAGGAGTAGTCAGATTGTTGGAACATAAGAATTTAGCTAAGGTTTGAAATGGTTGACTCTGAGAAGATAAATAATTTAGCAAAAAGCTCACCGACTGCATTGCATGTATTCACACACAACCCCACAGTAGGGTGGGAGAGGGTTTAAATTCTAAGAATGAAGTAGTATAGGTATGTAGGTGGACAGAGAGGTTGATTACTGAATCCTGGTTCATGGGATCTGCACCCAACACATGCAAAAGAAATGACTCAATGCAAATACCAGAGATATGCAGGGGAGATATTATTACCACCACTCAGTTAAATCAGAGGAGGATATTAAATAATCTTAAAATTCTATTTCAATTCACGTACACGACGACATTCTAAGAAATTACTTTTTTTGATTGTAAAAACACTCGTCTTATTTCCCATCTGATTGTAATTGATCAATAACACTCATATTATTGTTTCTGAATGTACATTATCCTATATTAGTTGATTTTTATTCAAATGTTTAATCCTCAATTCCACTCATGTATATAAATGAAGAAAGATTTGTGTGAGTGAGTGAGTGACTTGGTATGATTATGAGCAGTGGTGGATTGTGCTCGACACTTGGTCATCAGTTATTATTAATGCTGTATAACAGCCCTGTGTGACTGATCAAAATAAAATCTTATCCATAATGGAGTTATACACACTACCAGCACACACTGCCCAAGTTTCGCACTTATGCCAATGAAAGTTTATTGAGAAAAAATAACCAAAACGCAGTTTATATGAAAAAAAACTTACCATAAGAATTTCTTTAAATCCACGGACTAATTCATAGACAACTCTACGCATTTGTGGTACAAGACAAAATATTCTCAGCGGTCGTAGACATCGTAATACCATTAATAAATGTCCGCCAGATGCTGGACCGATAACATCAACACGTATCATATAACTGACAAAAATTAGGCTAATCTATCAAAAATACAAGATAAATATATAAAAAATTCATAAATAATCTCCAACCAGACATTCATGAAATAGCAAAACACAGTGTTCAACGAAGAAGAATCTCTTTTTGGCGGCGAATTCATTCACCTGGAGCTGTACAATAGCAATTATATATATATATATACTTATTTTTGTATATGTTGGTACAACATTGGGTTTGTTCGATGAGAATAAAAATTACTTAGGGTTATTGTTGTCAAGAATAATCAAATTGCATGGAGGATTTAATCATGAGCTGACATCAGTTAGAGAACCACTGGAAAACCTGGGAGTACTGGAAAGCTGTTTCGTCCTGGTTTGGGACTCTTCAGCAGTAGGCACCCAGCGGGATTCGAACACAGGACCTTCTGGTTACAAGGCGAGCTTGTAGACCATTGAGCCACTGGGACCCGATCCAATGGTCCTTGAATTCTAACTTCTGCCAATTCACGACATAGCGCTGTAGAGGACCATTGGATCGGGTCCCAGTGGCTCAATGGTCTACGAGCTCGCCTTGTAACCAGGAGGTCCTGGCTTCGAATCCCGCTGGGTGCCTACTGCTGAAGAGTCCCAAACCAGGACGAAACAGCTGTCCAGTACTCCCAGGTTTTCCAGTGGTTCTCTAACTGATGTCAGCTCATGATTAAATCCTCCATGCAATCAAACAAAATCCCTACAAAACCAATGCTTGAAAAATAATCAAATTGTAGCAAGCGGAGTGATAGTGAAAATTGGTAAGAGGATAATGGTGATATGTTGTCGAGAAAACACAGTTATCAGTGTTAATTAACAGATAAAACCACACTTCTATTTGCATGTATCATTTCATGCGCTGTTGCTGTGGAGCCAACCAGGTACATTGGTCGTTCGACGAGTATCCTATCCAGAAAGGGTTCAAGAATACTGTCATGAATGGCTACAAAAAGGTGATAGCAGTTGTACAAAGAGTGTGATAATTAAACGGCTCGTCAACAGTGGTCATTTATTCCATCTCAGCAAACACCTCCTTCTTCAAAGTGATCCACAAAGTAAAGAACAACCTACCGAAGGCAACACGCTTTCGTCTCCTTTGTATTGCTGAAGACTTAGCCATTCATCTAGAAAAATTAGAGTTATGTATACAAAAGAAAATCATCCGACCACTACTACTATCATGGTAACAAATGTGTTGACCTGTAGTGAGTTGATTTTTGCATGCTTATTTTTTCCAACTGCTTATAATATTTGTAATTTTTAGAAGTCTTACATAATTCCACATTTTTTTCGGTTTCTATATGTGTCCTAATCACAACTAACTCACTAAACTATCCATCTTATTACATAACTGGATTACGCTCATTCAAATTCTTTGAAGTGTTGATTGACATTAATAACTATGTTTATTTTTGATAACTTATCACCACTAACCTTTCACCAATCGACACCATCACCCCACTCATCAAATTTTTTAAGCGTTACAGGATTCCATAATTATCTGACATCGGTTAGAGAACGATTGGAAAACCACCTTGTCCTACTTTCGGACACTTCATCAGTACACACCCACCCAGGACATTCTGGTTACGAGTCAAGCTAGCTCGTAGACAATTAAGCCACTGGGACCCGACCCAGTGGCCAGTCCATGAATTCCAACTTCTTTCAATTCACAGCATAAGGTGACTGGTAACTGGTGTCTTTGGAGAGTATTTGTCATCACACCCCACTTCCTAAATAGAGCCAGTCTCTAGTTAGCATCTCATTGATATTCAAGTATTGGTTTCTAGGGATTTTATTGATTGGTTACATGATTTCAAAATGAGCTCACGTCAGTTAGAGGACCATTGGAAAACCAGCTGGGAGTACTGGACAGCTGTTTCGTCCTGGGTTCAAACCCCAGGTGGTTGCGTACTGTTGAAGAGTTTCAAACTATGGGTAACGAAACAGTTGTCCAATACTCCCAGCTGGTTTTCTAATGCTTCTATAACTGATGTCAGCTCATGATGATGAAATTCTGTAAGCACTTAATCAAATCCCTGCAAATCAATACTTGAATACTTTTACAATGTCTTTACGAGCATATCCCTAACTTATTCTTATCGAAGTCACCTAATGTTTATACACATACAAATTTAAGTATATATAATTGCGACTGTACAACTAAGTGAGTGAATTCTCCCGAAATAAAAAGAAATTTTCATGAATAAATCTGTGGCCTGATTAAAAATTGAATTATCAAAAAAGCCTCCATCAATGGATTGTATATAAATACTCTTACTGACATACTGATTATGTCATCATGAATCACCCATTGCAGTCTTACTATCTCCTGTTTAATACATACCACTTTGTACTAGCCACACCACTCACCTGACGCCTTTTATAACCTTGAACTGACTTGTCAATTTTTCCTATCCCACACTCTACAAATCGAATATGACTAATCAGCACTATTGTCTCCTATTTCACAATATTTTTTCATCGATTTTAGCCTAGCATGACGTTTGTCATAACATGAATACGACTATTTTGATGTGGTTTTGTTCTCTGAGCTGGATAGTTAGTTTGCGAAGCTTTCATCACCTTACTGGGTGACATCTTCAGCGCATACTTCAAATTGAAGTGAGCTTTTAGATTTCTCCACGAGTTTATTAATCATCTCTCCTGGTGACCTTGAACGTGATTGGTTGTTTATGTATGTTTTCACACCTTCTAGGTTACTTGTGTTGGAACCGGTTGTTTCTTTGACTTGAACTTTGACCCTTTGTGTGTGAAGTTTCTTTCTTATTGGTTGATAAATTTTGTCTATCTCGATGTGTCTATTGATTGATGATTCACTGGAATACTAGGCTGGCTTCTAAAAATTCTCTAGCATTTTTGTTGTTTCCTTTGTCTAATATTTGAACGTTGTCCCAGTCGAATTGATGTCCATAGTTGTCTGTGTGTAGTGAAATGAGGGAGTGGATATCATGTCTTTTGACGGCTAGCTTATGATCGTGGATACGAAGACGAAGGGGACGTCCACTTTGGCCAATGTAGTGTTTTTCACAGTTGTTACAGTTTATTTTGTAGATGATGTTGGTTTTGTCTTCTTTTGCTGTTGAGTCTTTTGGTTGACATAGAATTGAGTGCAGCGACTTTGTTGGTTTGTGTACGACGTCAATTCCTAAAGTCGCTGCACTCAATTCTATGTCAACCAAAAGACTCGACAGCAAAAGAAGACAAAACCAACATCATCTACAAAATAAATTGTAACAACTGCGAAAAACACTATATTGGCCAGAGTGGACATCCCCTTCGTCTTCGTATCCACGAACATAAGCTAGCCGTCAAAAGACATGATATCCACTCCCTCATTTCACTACACACAGACAACCACGGACATCAATTCGACTGGGACAACGTTCAAATATTAGACAGAAGAAACAACAAGAATGCTAGAGAATGTTTAGAAGCCTGCCCGGGATTCTAGTAAATCATCAATCAATAGACACATCGAGATAGACAAAATTTATCAACCAATAAGAAAGAAACTTCACACACAAAGGGTCAAAGTTCAAGTCAAAGAAACAACCGGTTCCAATACAAGTAACCTAGAAGGTGTGAAAACATACATAAACAACCAATCACGTCCAAGGTCACCAGGAGGAATGATTAATAAACTTGTGGAGAAATCTAAAAGCTCACTTCAAATTGAAGTATGCGCTGAAGATGTCACCCAGTAAGGTGATGAAAGCTTCGCAAACTAACTATCCAGCTCAGAGAACAAAACCACATCAAAATTATCCACCTGAGCTACAAATCTTCTCTATCATACGACTATTTATTTTGGCACCCTATAACTAATCTGTTATTCTATATTATAAAAAATATCCACCGCATAACTGACTATCATTATTGTAACGACAACATATACGTTATATTCAAGTATTGGTTTCGTAGGGATCATTGTTTGATTGCATGGAGGATTTCATCATGAGCTGACATCAGTTAGAGAACCACTAGAAAACCACCAGGGAATACTGGCCACCTGTTTCATCAGCCTAGTTTGGGACTCTTCAGCAGTACGCACCCACTGGAGTTTGAACTCAGGACCTTCTGGTTACAATCAAACAAAATCCCTACAAAACCATTATTTGAAAATTAATCTGATGCCCACTAGTGACTGGCCCTATTCAGGTAGTTAATCTGTGGTTCTAGTGACTAGTAGGGTATAGCAGGTTGAAGATTAGGCAGTAACTCTTCGAAGAAGACATTACGAAGTGGTCGAGCTACCTCATGAATTGGCAGAAGTTAGAATTCATGAACTGGCCATTGGATCGGGTCCCAGTGGTTCAATGGTCTACGAGCTAGCTGGCCTTGTAACCAGAAGTAACTGATTTCGACCCCCTGTGATGGGTGCGTACTGCTGAAGAGTCCCAAGCGACTAGGTCGAAACAGGTGTGGAGTACTCCCAGTTAGTTTTCCACTGGTTCTCTAACTGATGTCAGCTCATGATGAAATCCTCTAGGCAATAGACATTTATAAAGTTATATTTGTAAAATCTCAGAGAAATTGAAATGATTAATTCCAACGTTTCGTTCGGCAATCTGGTCCGAACTTCTTCAGGGAAATTAATCGAAATTAACATAACAAAGTTTATATATAAAGGGACACATCTTGTTTTTAAAATTCTTGTCCAATCATGAATCATGCAACAGGTATCAACATGTATCAAACATAAATAAATAGAATTGTATGTTTATACAAAAGTACAATAGTACAATCAATAGGTATGCTAAACAAAACAAAACAAAAATTGTATGAACTATGATCAAAAACTTTTGACCTCAGGCTTTCAAAATTTGTCTACTTTTGTTAAAATATATGTGTGTATGCAGTATATGCAGGATACAATGGTGTGTGTGTGTGTATGTGTGTGTGTGTGGGTGGAGCAGTCATAAAACATTTGCTATTCTCATATGAGCTTTGATCAAGATTTGACCGGATAGTTACAAATAATTGACATT